ACTTTTATAAATTTGATAACGGTAAATCATCAGCTGTTAATTATGATTTCTGAACTTTTGATCTTCAATTGTTGTAATAATTAATGTATTTTTCACCGGATTTGTGATTTTAGATCTTTATTGCGACAGGTGAGGAAGTAGTTCGTGAATTGTGAAAAAAACATAATTTTCATAAACCGAGTTAGGAATTTGTGTGTGAAAACATTTTTTATTTAAAATTAAATTGTTTCAGGTACCTACGTACCTTATTACAAGATTTGCCCAGTTTTCTATTACAATAGTTTTAGTAAATACTTCTATTTCTAGGAACATTTAAGTTACTTTTACTTAATTTTTGGGAAAATAATGAACCTATAAAACTATTTCGAAGAAGTTTTTCGAAGAAACTATTTCAAATAGGTTATTCATATTAGCTTTATTAATAAATACCTATCGTATAGTTTGAATTGAGTTTCATCTGTATTGTAAAATGTATGATGGAACCATTTGACACTACAATATTTACAACTCCTTTTAATATAATACCTATCATTTATTGATAATTTTCTTTATTCTCAGAGTAGTTACGAACAAGTCAGCGACAATCAGATGTAAGAAAATAAATTTTTATACTGATTTCTGAAAATCTGATTGTTTCTGATTGTTTTGTATCTACATTTTAAACAATTTACATAACATATGGTATATTCAAATTTTCCGCCAGGTTTAGTTCATTCCTGGCACACTAGATGGCGCCACTAAAATACACTGGAGTAAGTGTTTTTTTAGTATGTTCTGTGAATCTGTGAAAAATATTAGTGTAGTATTAAAGTTAGTTTGTGGTATTAGGTATATAGCATTTTTCTGTTTACATCTGGTTTTTATATCCGAGTACCTTCGCTTTTTGTACAGTTAGTTAATTGTCTATTTATATTATTTATCTCAGGACGGCACTGCATACTACCTTGCACCAAACAAATAAACAATTGATTAATTTGGAATTCCTGTCGTATTTTAGTGGTACTTTCGGCACGATAAGTTTAATGAAATGGCTCTAATTTACGTTCTAAAAATAGACCATTTCCTGGTAAACGCATCTCCTTATCGTTTGGTTTATTTACTGGACTTAAATAAAAAAATTAATAAATGAGTTCAATAACAACAAGTACATTGTTTTCTTCTCGTCTAGCAGAGCGCCTAGTCTAAGCCGTACGAGGTTAAGTCCAAAATTACTTATTATGAACTCAAAGAATAGAGATGCAGAAAATTGCCAAAAAGATATAAATATACATGAATCTGAATTTCTTGTATATTTATATCATGAATGATCTAAATATACAAGAAACGTCCTTTCTCTGTGGCCAGCAATAGTGCGTCCGACATCTGTAGCTCCTAGAATAAAAATAAACTTGGGAATTTTGTTTAAGTGCAAACCTAAAGTATGTACTTCATGGAAAAACTTCTACAGAAGCCAAAAATGTAATAATATACAGGGTGTTCCATTTAAAAAAAGCATCCCAATCCACTCACACTTTTTTGAGCCACCCTGTAGAAGTTAAAATATTTTCCTGAAATACATCCTAGTATATACTTTAGGCTTGCACTTAATCAAAATTCCCAAGTTTTTTATTCCAGGAGCTACAGATGCTCGACGCACTATTGCCGGACCCTGTACAGAAAATTACCAAGCTTAGACCCAAAGATTAAAGATTTTTAAGGTTAGTTAGTAAAAAGAACATGTACAGGGGTAATCCTGTACGAAAATGACAAAATTTCAGTATTAGATTGACTAAATACGAAATACATTATAACTCCTCTAGGCTTCCTTATTTGTCTCTCAACGAATTATTCAAAAATTCTAATTAAGGACACCCTATATGCATTGAAAAACGTTACATGAACGTCGTGACATCTTGACCTCTGCTAATTGCGGTTGTCATAATAGTTTGATTTTAGAAATTTTAATAAATCGATGCGTATACATCAATCTATTTATATTGGTTGTCTATTTTATATTTAATATTAAACTGAAAAAATTAGGACATGACAAACAACATTTTTAATTCTGTCTAGTGCGGTGATAATTTTTCTTTCCCAATTTGTTTCAAAAATACATTTATACCAGTTTTAATTGAGGAACTTCGTGATTCACGCTTTATTTTAAATTGGATTGGTTTAGTTAAATAAAAAAAAAGAGAATAAAAGAGATCTATATTTTGAAAGTAGCAAGATACACAGCTATTTTTACCACAACCTATTCATACCAGCCTGCCAACTTACGATCAATCGTTTCCATGTAAACGTCAGCATATCTGGGCTTGTCAATTTCAGTCATTTGCATCACCATATTATTGCACCTGCATATTTATATTTACGTAGATATTCGCATATCTTATGTTATGTAAAAAAAATCTGGTACTACGCTCTATTGAAACTTCGATTATAAAAACATCTAAAAGGCAATACCAATTATTGAGTTCTATAAGTGAAAATAACATATTCTTATGAAGTCGATGAGAATGGTCACGGAAAGATGGGTGGCCAACAAATCTCTAGAATGGTGGAGAAACTCACCAGGGCAAAGACAGGCGAAAAAGTCATAGTAGAACATTCGCCAAAATTCACGGCAGACCAAATAAGCAAAGATAGAAAGACAGTCAATGCGGTAGTGGGTTTACTAACAGGGCATTGTAAGCTGAATAGGCATGTAAAGCTCATGGAATTGATGGACGAAGCCATGTGTAGGTTCTGCCAATCTGAGGAAGAATCCACAAAGACATTTTATGTCGGTCCGGCAGGCTGGCAAATGTGCGATTCTCGGTAATAGGCAATGATGGGCTATTGCCAATACGCTACATGAGGGGTTCAGTCTCCAAGTTGCTAGACTTTGTAAAAAGGATAGTACTAGAGGATGTATCCTAAGGATCAGAAGAGGACCACAATATATCCGAGAATCTATGAAGTTGATCGGCTGATTTTTATTTTTTGATAGTATATTTGCGCAGCTTCATAAGAATATTCATTTATGCAGCCATTGACTAAAGAATACAAGGACCAATAATACCCGAGACCAAATTGTTATCATTTGACTCCAAACAGTGCCGTGTCAGAGGCTTAATATATTATAGGGGTTCATATGTGAAGGGCCCTCCATGCCCTTCACAGTCGAGGAGCTTATCTCCGACTGAGGTACCAATGAGGTGGAAGCTGGAGGATCTGTCTCCATTTTCTCCACTTTTTTAACTTGGTCTCTCCATAGACCTGATACCGGTGTTCTCCCGAATCTATAACAGAGAACAGAGGAGGAACCCTCTTTCTCAATCGCCTTTCTGGATTCCTATTGTGAGGATCTGACCATTACCCTCCTCCCTCGAGTTGATGACTCGCCAACTCGATGTGCTTACATTGGAGTTCTGAGCTTGGATAAGGCTCAGCAGGTATAGGTGGTGTCTTTCCTCTTGCTCCTTGGCAGAAAGACAGTGATGGTCGCCCCCTTTTGAGATGTTTTCTCCTTTCACTGCAATCAGTCCCGGGCACTGATGCCAATTCTTAAGCTTAAATACCGTTTCCATCAACCAATCCACTGATTCTTCAGATACACAATCTATGAGGATTACCCACCCGAAAGTGCATTCCCGCAAAATGGAGATGACCGACATTGCAGTGAGTCGTTGCGCTGCAATCCGCTCGCTACTACTTCGTCTCGTCCAGTAATCGCCTCTTCTAGAGCCGTTTGCTGGTCTGTAGTCAGTGTAACCTCTAGGGGTCATCCTAAGTTTCCAGTCTTTATTAAAAAAAATCCGATTGGTAAAATTCCACCAACAGGAAGTGAATCTGTGACCTTTAGCGTGGTAGACGAGAGTTGTACCCTAGTTACTTATTCTGCACTACCAAACGTTCAAAATAAGAAATATAATATATGAAATTTATAATCATAAAATGTCATTTGGGGCGAGAAACATGGAGGTTAACGGAGAATAACAAAAGAAAATTACTGGCGGTAGAAATGGACGCGATAAGGACATCAGCACGAACATCAAGGCTGGATAGAGTACGAAACGAGACAATCAGGGACAAAATGGGTAGACAGAATACTATAGTAGAGGAAATAGAGAGAGCCCAACTGAAGTGGTATGGACATGTGAGAAGGATGGACAACACGCGACTGCCTCAGAAGGTACTAAACTGACTTCCACAAAAGAGAAGGAAACGGGGAAGACCAAGAACAAACTGAATGGAGGGTATCAAGAAGGCGAGCTCAAGGGATCTGATGCGTGCCGGATACTGGAATAAACGAAACCAATGTTGACTAGGCATCGCACAACGTCGAAGGACGTTTTAAAAGCGATTCTTATATGTATATTAAATGTCAGTAATATTTAGCAGTAATATTAATTCAGATTTGTCTGATTTTACTAGAACTATTCAAAAATATCAATTATTAAATTAGGTATGTACCTACGCAGTCGAGTGTTCTAGGGACACTAATTTCTAATATCAAAATGTTATCGCTACTGCTGTTTGGATATAATAGAGCCGTAGCATGAAAATGGTGCGTGTAACACATTATTATGGAGATTTTATGTAACATGCCGTGTGTATAACCTTCTGGGACCAAAGTCGAGACAAAAAAAAACCGATTCATTTTAACAGTAACAATGAGCATTTAATTGGATTCTTTGATTTAAAAAGGCTTAGTAGTGATCAATAATTGTTTTCATTTATTAAATTGACGGGGAACTTAGATTGAAGAATATAAATTAATAATTTCAATTAAAAAACTATAATAAATTCTAATGAATCTATATTTCACTAATAAAAGATTAATATTGGATTTCGATTGCCCTTATTTTTAATGTTTTCGTACATTCGTACTTAATAACAGTTTAACTAATAATGGTGCTTCGATAGTATATTATAAAAATAAAAGCAATGAGAGTCCAAAATCAATCTACTATTCAACAGTTAATATCGAATATCAATATTTAATCAATTAATAAAAATTTCTGTTCTTTTTTCAGGTATTTTTAAAAAATATTCAAAACCAACTTGGAATTTCATCTGTAGAGTGTATTCACCAGTACATAAATGTGAAAATGTTTTCATGAAAATGAACAATATTTCTAATCTGATTACCCAGGTAGGCAATTAACAGCATTTAGAAAGCTTCTATAAAAAATGAACTATTTATAATAGTAATTTTAAACCTTATTTTTAGCTGATATTCTTCATTGCCTGCGACAAAGTCCTCCTCTGCAGCCTCGGCGGGCAAAACTGTCCCAAAAAACGAGTTACAGGCCTCTACTCCCTCATGTTCTACAACGTCATAGCCTACTGCGTCAGCTACATCAAAGAACTCATCGAAAAAGAGGACTGGTCGGTCACTGTCAACATGACTCATCACAGCAACCTCAAACACGTCGCCATGTCAGCGACCAAAATCGTTCTAGAATGGACGAAAGCCGTCACCTTTATTATAACAGTGACGTTTATGCTTTTGGTGTTTGGCTTGGAGCAAGGCTTACAACATTATCATCCAACGCCGTTGTATACATTCATCACTTGGACTTACTATATGTGCACCGAAAAAGTTTTCGTAGATTTGTTTTTACCGTTACTTCTGATGTTAAAACTAAATTCTCTCGAAGCCTTGGAGCAGTTCTATGCCCCAGTCATTCTCAGATATTACACTATCACGCTAGCGGTGATTATGGTGATCCTCTTACCATTCTACGGACAATTCAAGTTTATGTTTATCGCGTTTTACATCATGGTGTATCTTAGAACAAAAGATATGGTGGTGAACTGTTTAAAAAAGCTTAGGACCGAGCAGGCGGTCTTGGGTCAGTTTCGTTACGCGACCAGTGACGAAATCGAGAATTGTGATGACGTATGTGCGGTTTGCCTGAGTCAGATGACGAAAGCAAGAGTGACGCCTTGTCAGCATATGTTCCACGCCAACTGTCTGAGGGAATGTTTGAATAATTCGAATAAGTGCCCTATTTGTAAAAGAGAGTACGTTTTTGTGCACTAGTATTTTTTGGGTGATTATTGCATTCTAAAGAAAGAAAAATATATAGACATAAGATATAGAAAAAGTATATCTATGTTTCAATTTTATGACTATGTTGTATAAAAATATTGCATACCTATATAACTATAGTTTGTGCACCAAATTGTGTATTATTCTATTGTGATACATTATTGCTAATCAATATATCAGACCTAAGTGCAACTATATTTATTAAACAGTCGCTCTAGATACAATATCTATCTAAAATACCAATGCTTTATTTTACTGGAGCACAAAACACAACTACTGCAGCACAAACGTACTTTACGCAAGCACAAAAACTGTTTGGGGAAATTTTACAGATATTTTTTACAGATTTTGCATTTTATAAAATACCTACTTCTTATTTATACAGGGCGAGTCTAGAATGGACAATATAATATTATAAGTGCAAATATTTTCAGGGCTGGTAGATCTCGATAAAAGAAACATATTTTCTCTTTACCGTTTTTCAAATTAATTCAAAACAACCGAGTTATTTTACTTTGAAAATTTCCAAAAAAATATATTTTTTGCTAAAATTTTGAGAATCCAATGGTCCCCTTTTCCGGATTTTCTTTCTTTTAAATTTAATCTACTATCTATGTTGCCATATTATCAACTAAATTATGGTTTTTAACTAAAAACATTTTCAAATTTTTTTTCAAAAAATCCCATATTTTCGAAGTTTTTCGAAAAAAACCGCATAATCGTGTTTCGGAAGTCGAAATATACTACCCTTAAAAATATTTGCACTTATTTAAGACCCACCTTGCATAATGAACATCGAACTAAGATTTTTTGGTCTGTTAAGAGCAGGATTTAAACAGAAAAATTAATGGAATATTATTTTTGTCTCACGCGCGAAAGAGTACTTTGATAAAATATATTATTTTTTTATAATTACTGTATGTAATTGTAAATATTTGGTGATATAAATAACATGCTTAATTTAATATGAAAATGTTAGGTTAGGAATCGCACTTAAAATATATCTTTCCAAATCAACTTGTTTCTATAACTATGGCAACAAAATAATTGTTGACAGCAATAGCTTACTAGGGATCTGGGAGCGTTCGGAATCGGTAATAACAAAAACCCGAACACACCTTTTAAGCTGCGTTTAGACTTGAGTACGCACGCACTGATCCTTCGCGAATGCAACACGCTCACGAGCCGTCTGGTGTCGGTTGTTGGTCGGTGCTCAAAGGGATTTTATGTGTTCGCGAACGCTCAATTTACAAAGGCAATTTGTTTTGCGTGGGTGTGTGAAGTTCGTTAAATTATTTTCGTTTCGCCAAAATTATGGACTTGATTCTTTGTTATTGTTAATACAAGAACACGAAAAGTTGCCGATTTTATGGGATATAAAATATTCCGCTATCTAAAACATTCTCTTGGAGATAAAATCTATTCTAAAATTTGTATCTTTTTTTTGTAATTTTTGGTGTTATTAAATTTAGTAAATATTCAAAGTCGGGTTGGATCATTCCCGTAAAGTTTTTAAACTGATCCTAGCCCTCCTCAAACACTAAATTGTTTGATATGTTATATCGATTTCCAAAAATTAGAGTTTAACCCTAGCGACAATGTTTTCGACTTTTCTTCTTTTTATAATTAAACTGTGCATAACAATGAAGGCAGCCGCGGCTATTTCTTTTCACCAACACGAAGTGGATCACTTCATTCGTCGAGAAAGAAGTTTTTAATTTAAACGGAGCCGATAGCGCGAACGAATGCCCTTAGCGTATGCTCAGCGCGTGCATGCGTGCTCAAGTCTAAACGCACCTTTATGCATTTTATTTTTTAGGCACAGTCAGGCTACAGAGTGAGAAATAATTTTGCGCCCTGGAGCGCAAAATATTTCGCACTCTGCGTCATGGTAACATAGAAATATAAAAACGTGTCACTTCGCAAATTGTTATCAATTGGCAAAACTTACATTTTTTACATTTATAAAAAAAGTATTTATTATATTATATTTATTACAATTTATAAAAATGTGTATAAGTAGATATGTGAACTATCTTTAAGACTAATAAGTTCTAAATTTGAATAATGCAATCGTGTTTTCGACGCGAAATAAAAAGGAAGTTGGTGGCATTTTTCTATTAAATCTCCGTCGTTGAGATATAGACGCTGACCCATTTATTTTCAAATAAACAACCCACGGCCCTATTTAATTTTTCCTCGCTCATCTCTCACTGCAAGGCCTAGTTTGGCACGTGTCTACTGCTCATGATCTTAAACCTTGGTCGTTATAATTTATTATTATGTTTTTATTGCGGAGAATTATCTATTCGAATTTTATTAACGTAGGCCGACACCTAAATGCAATAAAAAACTTTCCTCTTATAGATATTAAAAAATTAAGAGGTCTCTATCATAAACAACTACAAAGATTTCGGAATGGTACTTTAGAATATTTTTTTATTATTCTAAAGAAAGTCTTCAATGCCCAGAGTCGTTAAAAAAGACTAATATAAAGTGTTAGGTATATCTATCAAAATGATGCTTCAGAATGGAAAAAAACTCATAATTTTAGGATATTCTCCTATACCAAAGTTTACAGATTCTGTAAACTTTGCCTATACCGAGAGCTTCTCAAAAGTGGCTCACCCCCTATAACTTTTTTATTTTTTCAGATAAAAAACCGAGATTTGTTATATTAATATATGATATAAATTAGGAATAATTGACTGATTCAAGTGTTTTCGGTCACTTCCTCTTTCACCGGAAATGACTATAACTGTTGATTTTTAAATGGCACCCTCGGTATTTTGTTACTTTATTCGATAGAGAATGACACCCTGAAAGGAATGACATATCATATCTCAACTTTCGACAGTTTCGAATATGGTTTATTTGAAATTGCAACATGCGATTCATAACGACAATTTGACTCGAAATAATATATAATATTCGGAAAAATGCTTTTTCCGAATATGGTAATGAGCCACCCTCATTTCATTTGAAAAAATTGAGATATGATTAAAAATATGATTTGGGCATCTTTTAACCGGCCAGGAAAAGACACTAAAACATTAGACGATCGAATTTATTTCTCCAAGGCTCCTTGATTAAAAATTGGTGTTTTTAACACAGCCTCATTTTAACACAGCCTCATTTTAACGCAGCCTTCACTCTAGATTGAAATTTAAAATTCAATTTTGTTTTAAACGAAAATGTCAAAAGTTGACATATGATATGTCATTCTATTCAGAGTGTCGTTTTCTATCGAATAAAGTAAAAAAATACCGAAAGTGCTATTTAAAAATTTTGTTCAACAAAAGTTGTAGTCGTTTCCGGTGAAACAGGAAGTGGTCGAAAATAATTGAATACGTCAATCAATCCTAATTTATGTCACATACTAACATACCAAATCTCGTATTTTTATCTAAAAAAATAAAAAAAGTTATAGGCGTGAGCCACTTTTTAGAGGCAACCGGTATTCTCATACCATAAACCAAATCAAGCCAATTTCATATATGGTCACAGATAACATATACCATGTTATGTTACATGTGTGATATGGCGTAAGTTTTTGAAATCTTTGAAATAAAAAAGCAATTAACATGACAAAGTAACAAAATTTCCCCATTAAAATTTTGAATGCAATAATAAACCAAAAAATATATAAGTGAAAGTTAGAACACCATAAAGTTTACAGAATACAAGATAAATATTAAAAAATACTTTTTTTATGTAGCATAATATGTTCATAAAAGTCCTGAAATATATACAAAACCAACTTTCCTTGGTAATTTAAAAAGAAACACACCCCAGTTGAACAAAAAATCAGGCCATAATACAACCAAAACATTTTTTAAAATGTTTATTTTGACAGGGTTTCGCTCTTGCCAAAAATTTTCAGATTTATTTATACTCGGGTGCATTGGCGTCAGAGATGAGATATTTTTAAGTAAATTTAATGTAATATTAAAGATATTTTTATAGGCACGTACGTTCAACGCTTCTTGTTGTATTTTCAGTGTTTTTATTTCTGTCGATTAAGATATTTTCGGTTCATTGTTATTGTCAATAGAGAATATTATGACTGCTTTGTTAGGGAGTAATTTTTGTACGTTTATATTAGTAAGTTAGTCTATAGTTCTTTTTTGTTTTGTTTAGTACAAACATCATTTTCGAGTATTTGAATACAAAAATATTAATTTTAAGTAAAGGTACTTATAAGTATTTCAAACAATATGAGAATCTTCATAAAAGAATTTTTTATAAAATTCAATTCGGCAAAATAAAATATAAGCTATAAGAGCTTTGTCATATTCTTCTCAAATTTACTATTAATTAAATTTTGGAATATTTTAAAATTTCCCTGAAAATCTTGACACAAAAACATGAACTTTGTACTGCAAACAAAACAAATCATTAGCTATTTATAAAAGAATTTTTATAACACTTATTTTGGTACTTAATTATAATAAAATACAAGTTATTAATTTGTTTTTTTATCATTTTTTTTAAGAAACACTCTGTATACATTGACAATAATGACATCATTCATGGAACTATCAAATATACAATTTTTGACAAATGTTACCAAAATTCAAAATTTCAGTATTAAATGGCAACATTTTTTCACAGTACAGATTCCAATGAGTCAATTAACCCTGGTTTAAGTGAGTTTGTATGAAAAAAGAAACTTCTAATTCAACCTACATTTTTAAGGATGGTGTCCTTTGGTTTTCGAGGTTCTTTTAACCATCAGGATGGAAATATTGCAAGAAATCCATAATGTGGAGCAATACTTTATTAAATTACATAATATCTATGGATTCGCTTCACAGGTTTGTCTTGGAACAGTAATTAAATATGATTATTAACACGAATCAACCCCCTTAAAATTTTTTACTTATATGTCACTAAATTAAAGCGAAAGAAATCGCTCTTTTGCGTTATGAAATAAAATCCACCCATGTTTTTTATAATACTGCCGTATAGACTCCATGGACATTTTTTAACATTATTATAGTAATTATGATTTGGAATGCAATATATTAAAATTAAAAGAAATACCGGGTGCGTCTCAAAAGTGGCTCACTCCTATAACTTTTTTATTTTTTTTTTGTAGAAAAAAAACGAGATTTGGTATGTATAAAATACATATATTGTGGTATATATAATTTGGTATGTATAAAATATATGTTACGGCTAAAATCGATACTTGGCTAGTTTTAAAACTAGCCAGCTATTTTGCAAACTAACTAAAAGCGCTATTATTTTGAAAGAATCCCTATATCAGAGAGAACACTAATAACTAAGGTGAGAGAGACCGATCAACGTTAATTTTTGAAGACTGTGTTAGTGGCGCGGCCTTTGGCATCTAACCCGAACTATGAGCGCATTATCGATATAGTAGGTTGCATTCATACCTATATACTGGCGCCAAAAATTTAAAATTTGTATATTTGAACCGAATCTTAATCTTTCAAGTTTTATAATAAGAAATCTTCGTAGTTTTTTTAGATTATTTTGTTGACAACGAAAATTTATTATTAGACTTTAAAGCATTAAAACCTATAAATAAAATACTGTGTAGGAACATAATAATTTAATTAACTCCATACTCCTTGCCATACTCCAACTCAAGGCTGCAATCTTCAGTATCTTTTTTATCTAACTTGATTGGGAGTGAACAGGGAAACACGGTTGGGAGCTCGCACAGAGTATCAGTAGGTATCCCGTAGGTATTCAATGTTTTTGATAGTCTTTATTCTATAACAAGAACCTAGCAGTTAAAGAAAATAACTATTACTGGAAATAAATATAGAAAATAACTATATTACTGGAAGTAATACCAGGTATAATACCTAGTCGTTCCATAGGAATCAAAAAAGAATGTGATGTTTTAAATAAAAAAAAATAAATTAGCAATGTACGATTATTATGTGCACTCACTATTACTATTAGGTATGTTAAAATAATTACCGAGATAAAACTTACCTTTAAAGGAAACGTTTTGTCTGGGTCTCAACCACAAAACAAACATTACAAAAATGCCGAATAATCGTGGAATCTGAAATAATCAATAATGACAATCACAAAACATCCCCCTTTAGAACTTCGTCTATCATGTTAAGAAATGAAAGTAAATAATAAAGCGCCTCTCGTGTTTGTTCGCACTCAAAAAATTTAAATTAATGCCTATATGTATTTTTAATATATTTTTCAAATTTACATTTTTTTAATTGAAAAGTAATATATTACATTTAAATGAAATATATTACATAACAATTATGTCAATTACAGGATTACAAGCTTGTTCTCTAACATTTTTTAAATAAAACGTATTATAAAATTTCAATATATGTATATTTGTCGTAGGTATGAAAAAAGTAAAATATAAAATGGACAAACGCTTACTTACATTGCAATAAAACTTCCACTTTTAGTTTTGCAATCCGCAATATTTCTATTTCACAAATAAAAATATCCGGCAACACTAAAATCACTGAAACTTCCGCGGCTGTCAACGAAAACTGAAAAATATAACGGCACTTTTTGTTTTGGACCTGCATATCAACATTACGCTGTACTATTATGTGTTTATTGTTGAAATAATATAAAATATCTAATTATAGCTTGTAAATTTTAATATTTTAACATGATTTTAACTACTTTTGACAATAACTAACTTTTTATCAAGATGACATTTTAGACGGCAACTGACATATATGTCATAATATTTGAATCTTAAACATGTATGTAAAATAATTTAAATTAATATAATGCAACTTTATACTAAGAAAACATTTATACATTCACAAAATTCAACAAAGTCTAATAATATAGTTTGAAAACAATGAATATTGAATTAAAATTGAAAAAGTTAAGCGCGACCCCTTGTTTCAAAATTAGATGACTAAATTTTCGCAATTTTTACACCATTTGATGACCGGTGGCGCCTCTAGTGTTTGTTCGGGCGGTTGGTCTTTTACTCCCGCTTATGGCCATTAAAGAAAAAGTTCTAAAGGGGGATGTTTTGTGATGACAATAATCTTCTCTTCTGACAAGCTAAAAGAACAGGCACATTCAGTTAAAAACAATTTATTACTCCGATTTGCTCCGTTTATCAACAGATTTTCGTTATCTCCTTCTAGAGCTAAGAAATAGAAAAAGCTACTGACAATCTAATTAGTCCTGTCAAATGTTTAACTTGCAAAGTTGAAAACTTTGCAACCTTTTTCGACCGCCTAAACGCTATGCGCGTCTGGGATGCGCGGTGACAAAATAAACTTGTCTACGAAATGCCCTATTCCACAAGCCCTCTCACTTTAGTTATTAGTTTCTCTCTGCCCTATATGACATAAATTAATCCTAATTTATGTCATATACTAACATACCAAATCTCGATTTTTTATCTGAAAAAATAAAAAAGTTATAGGGGGTGAGCCACTTTTGAGACGCGTCCGGTATGATACCAATGACTAAAGGATACAACGACAAATAACACCCGAAACCAAATTGTTACCATACCACCAAACAGTGCCGTGGCACATATTTTCCTTAACATAGCCGTTTGAAGAGATATTTATATTTTTGATAAATGTTTTGACTACGCCTCTGGTGTATGCGGTAGCATTATACTATTTAATTACGAAAAAAACTTATTAAAATGTTAATAATAGGTACAAAACTAGTATCGACGGACCTATAGCACATATCAAGTACATATCAGAAAAATAATTATCGAATTCAATAAAAAAACGCTAAAAAGGTGGAGTGGGCTATTTATTCACCTATTTAACGTAACTCCTGGCTCTTTCTTATCGCTGCGGCTTTTACACTTGAAAGCTGAACAACTAATCACCATTGTAACAAAGTTTATACAAAGTTCACTACACACACTATTAAAAATTGCTAAAATTGTCGCTGATGACTCATTCGCTACAACCAAAAAAATGACGTCTACCATCACAAATTCTGCTGTATATGGGCGTTACATGTCTTTGTATTCTTTAGTCATTGGATCATACCAAATAAACTTTTAATCACGTGACTAAGCTTGACCGGCACATCATTGCCGACTTTTACATATTTTCTTTTCAATCAAAATATTTTAGACACAAAAAACAAATTATAAATATACAGGGTTGTTCACCACATACGACACGGAGTATTGTAGCTAAACGATGAGATTTTTACAAATTGTAAGTTTTAGGTTCGTTGAAGGACTGTTAGAGCTACAATTTAAAAATATTTTTAAAAGATACAGAGTGTCCCAAATAAATAAAAAATATCAAAGTTGTATTTTTTTAAATGGAACACCCTGTATATTATTACATTTTTAGTTTCTACGATTAAAATAAAGGTAAATTTGATTAAGCTTGATTACACTTAAACCTTACCGTTTTTGAAATATTTTCAATTTTGTGAAATTGCAGTAAAAATTTTAAGGTTTCATTTCTCCAAGGGTATCAAAGTTTTTAATACTAAATATTTACTGAAGTTTATTTATTGATCAGTTATTATGTTGCAATAATAAAAATAATACTACCTTATACAGAATGTCTAAAAATTTATTTTAAATAATTTCTAGCTCGAAACGGCAATAATTTGTTAAATTTAAATGGAACACCCTGTATATTTTATGAGAATCAGATACACAATTTAATTGTCTAACAAATTGTATTATGTTATTTTTTACCTATCTCTTTAAGTTTCCGTAGAAAATGCATTTTCTTGTAATTTAGAACTTATTTATCAATATACCTATGGAATACTGACATTTTAGATTATTTTTAAAGATGTACGAAATTTTTAAAGAGTACAGATACTAATATTGTCGATACAATTCGTTTATTTCATTAAAAAATAAAAAAACTGTTTTAATATTTGTTAAAGAGGACCAATTAATATGATTCCAGTATTCAAACTGTTTGCGTTGATTAATAATAATTGCCCCAAATACTAAAAACCTGAGTTTTGTATGTGTATTAGACAGTGTGGTAAAAAGTAACACCTTAAAATTATATTTCATTTTTTAATCAATGCTTATTTATAACAACAGAGACGTTCATTTTCATAACTTATTAATATATTGATTTCTGATTCAAATCCACATTTATTTAGAATAATTTATTAACGAACACAATTAAGTATGTAATTAATTAGTATTTGGGCGGAAATAATGGTGTTATATTTAATTAATGGTATACTCTTTTATAAATATATAAATAGTTTTCTTTTTGCCTACAAATGGGCTAGTAATATTACCGTTTTGCTAAAAACGATATTACTAGCTCGTAGATTTTGTACATTTGCTGCTTTAAAAACAATCTAAAATGTCAATATTCCATGGGTATATTGATAAATGAAGTCTAAATTATAAGAAAATGCATTTTCTACGAAAACTTAAAGGAATAGGTAAAAAATGGTATAATACAATTTGATAGACAATCATCTGATTCTCCTAAAAGATACAGGGGGCCATTTAAATTAAAGAAGTTATTGGCGTTTCGAGCTAGAAATTATTTAAAATAATTTTTAGGCACTCTGTATGAGGTAGTATTATTTTTATTATTGCAACACAATAACGGATCAATAAATAAACTTCAGTAAATATTAAGTATTAAAAACTTTGATATCCTTGGAAATGAAGCCTTAAAATGTTAACTGCAATTTCACAAAATTGAAAATATTTCAAAAACGGTAAGGTTTAAGTGTAATAAACCTTAATCAAATTTACCTTTATTTTAATCGTAGAAACTAAAAATGTAATAATATACAGGGTGTTCCATTTAAATAAGTAAAACTTTGATATTTTTTATTTATTTGGGACACTCTGTATCTTGTAAAAATATTTTTAAATTGTAGCTCTAATAGTTGTTCGACGCGCCCAAAACTTATAATTTGTGAAAATCTAATCGTTTAGCTACAATACTCCGTGTCGTATGTGGTGAACAACCCTGTATAAACAGTTATTATTTACATCAACAAAACTCACCTCCTTAACTTAAGGGACCTAAAGGGCCATTACTACCGCTTTTTCGTTCAAAATATTCTAATAAGGTCCCATTGAATTTTTTTGCAATGGCTGCTTCGGCATGGTGTACATTTCGCACTAAAAGCGGTTCTAAAAAGAACAATTTTCGACCGCAAGGTCTGCTAGTAAAAAAATTTAGGCATAGAGTATCACAACACAATTCACTTAAACCAAAAACTCGTAATACATAACTGAAGTGTCAAAACGAATCAAACTATCAGAAATTGGCAACTTGACATTTTTTACAGCAGAGCTACCACCTGAATCGCCAGCGGGAAATGTACATTCCAGTGGGTCAGCCAGGCACAGAATATGTCCATGGTTGGCATCAATGAATTTAATAATCGCGCCCTCGATTACGTAACTAAAAGTTTATTTGGTATCGCCTTATCGCGTATAGTTTAGGTTTTGTATTGAAAAATAAAAGTTGGATAATATTCTTACGTTGTTTTTAGGTCAGTTTTTTCATTCTTTGTGAACAATTACTAGACAACTCAGTTCATCCCCAACTGAAAGGTGACAAGAATGTAGTGATGGCTCTTACAACAGTACTATTTTACTCAGTTCTTGGGTATTTTGCTACGAGAGTACGGGATATCTGTCTAGGAAACCGAACTAGAACAGTTCCCAGAACACCATCATTTATGACATATACCAAATGGATATGCAGAATTATTTTGGAATGGATAAAAGCTCTCATTGTTGTTTTGTGTTTAAGAGAACAAGGCATACAATACGAACCAAAGCTTATCTACAGCATAATAACTTTTGTTTATTATTTATTAACTGAAAGAATTTTTATTGAAGTATTTCCAAAAATTGTTGAAGCTCTAAATATTAGAAAACTTGACAATTTAGAATACCTATACATACCGTTCTACATGAATGTTTTAGCTGTATTAGCTGGACTATCCGCATCTATGTTCAACTTGTACTTGAATTATTCCCCACTTATTTTTTTGGCACTTTACTTTATGGTGTACTTAAGAATAAAAGATGCATATTATAATTACTGGGAAATATTGGTAGCCGAGAAAGAAGCCTATTCAAGTTTTCAAATAGCAACTCAAAGGGAGATTGAAGATTGGGATGATATTTGTGCCGTATGTCTAAGTAATATGTCTAGAGCAAGAATAACCCCTTGCAATCATCTGTTCCATCCGTACTGTTTGAAACAATGTTTGAGAACGTCCTTTTTGTGCCCCCTATGTAAACAACATTTTCTAGAAAACATGGCAAATAAATAATCGAACGATTTATCTTGTTTACTTGTAATGAACCTGAAACACAAATATACCTATAATACCTGTTGTATGAACAAAAATAAATCCACTCACATTGAACTTTAAAATGACAATCTATGATGATACATTTTTCCTAACCATTTTTTACTATTTTGGGAAAATAATTGAACGCCACTGGCCACTGTGCCGCCAGTGGCTGTGATATATTTTATTCTGCAAACTTTGACATGATGTATATTGGCTAGGATTGCCACATTTTTATAGCTAAATTCCTGGGAGGGCAAAAAAACAATTACCAAAATATCATAAATGAGATAAAATATATATGTAGATATCAACGAAGGAAGGCTAAATCGAAATGCGATGGAATAATATTAAGCCTAAATGTATATTTTTTACTCTCTGAACTTTATAACCTTTGACCTGATTTCATAATTTGATTAACGCTTTTCGGAATAGTATAATGATTTTCAGGGATCCAGGATAACTTATCCAAATCCAGGACTTTCCCGGAAATCACGGCTGTCTGGCTACCCCAATGACTAAAGAATCCAAGGACAAATAACACCAGAGAGCAAATTGTGAATTTTGAAGAAATATTGATATTTTTTGATAAATGTTTTGACTACGCCTATGGTGTATTATACGGTGGTATCATACTAATTAATTACGAAAAAACGTATTAACATGTTAACAAAAGGTACAAAACAGTACATATTAATATCAGAAAAATAATTATCGAATTCAATAAGAAAACTAAGAAAACGCTAAAAAGGTGGAGCAGACTGTTTATTTACCTATGAAACGTAACTCCTGGCTCTTTCTTATCGCTGCTTCTTTTACACTTGAAAGCTGAACAACTAATCACCATTGTAATAAAGTTTATACAAAGTTCACTACACACAAACTAATAAAAATCGCTAAAATTGTCGCTGGTGACCAGATGATGACTCATTGTTTGCTATTAAAAGAATGGCGTCTAATGTCACAAATTCTGCTGCAGCCCGTATATGGGCGTTACATGTCCTTATATTCTTTAGTCATTGGGCTACCCTAATATTGGCTCTAGTTTAACTTACAAACGCTCCTGAATGGACTAAATATCTAGGATATCATTTAAATAAAATATAGTGTAGTTACCTAAAAATACTATTTAAATAAAACAACAGAAAATATTTTAAACTATATTAAAATCCAACTATTCTCATTAGACAATTTTATGTTAAAAAAGTTGACTAGAAAAAATGCAACAAAAACTAATAAATTTATATACAGTATGTCTCCGGATTGTCTTTACAGGAGGTTGGAGGAAAAACTTTTTATTATTCACATTTTGAGAAAAATGCATTCTTCATAAAAAATTTGCTTGTTTTGAACTGGATAATCCAGTTTATACATTTCCAAAATTCCATACCGTTTTAAAGAAAATTAAAAATAACATGGTGCCCAGTGCAATGGTGCCCGGTAGCGTAGAGGTACCAGCTCTCGTCTATCAATCTAAAGGTTGTGGGTTCGAATCCTACAGACGGCAGTTCTATTTTTAATAAAATAAAAATAGTTTAGGTACCTAGATCGATTCAGCCTTAAATGAGTACTTGGGATTCACAATCCTGAGGTAATAATAGACGGTTGAAGCGTAGAGTGCTAGCCACACTGCCTTCCTTGTATACCGAACGGCTCTAGCATGCCAAGTAGCTAGCATGCTATTCCCAAGGCGTTAAACTCATACGGGAGCTATTATTATTAAAAATAACATGAAAATATAGTTTTTTAGAATTTTTGAAGTCCGTGATAGAATTTTAATTAGCTTCATATTTTCTGCTATGATGTTTAAATGTTGAATAAGTACAAAATTTATATAGTTCAATGTCTATGAAAGGGTGGCAATAGTTATAGAAAAATGTGATACTTTAAGAAATATGAAGTTAATCAAAATTAATAATAACCATCTATAAAAGAATGAAATCGCAGTGATACTGCCATAGAAACGCCTGTTAATTTTTAGGACTTTTTTTAAAAAAATCAACCATATTTTCATGTTTTTTTTTTATTTTCTCTAAAACGGTACGAAAATTGAGAAAATTATAAACGAGATTAACCGTTTTAGAACAAGCAAAAAATTTTACGAAGAAATGCATTTTTTTCAAAATGTCAATAATAAAAAAGTTTTTACTCTTGTAAAGATAATCCGAGGACTTACTGTAGGTACATTGTGATTGAATAAAAATAACGTCACAATATCAGTCACAGTTACAACTGATAGTTAATCATGCATTAGCAACAGAGGTTCACAATAAAGTGGACAATAAAGAACACTAGCTTAGTTCAGTTTTTTTCTATTGCCAATTCTGAACCGTTCTACAACTTTACAGCGCATGCGCAGAAGAAGAAAAAAGTATCACAGTTTCCGCACAATTGCATCGTTAAATGAAACCCAACACATCGAAATTAATTAAATCGAATTGTTTAACTGATATTTTCAAAAGTCAATAGTTCAGAAAATTGAAGGTATAATTGAAATATTCAATAATATACAGGGAGTTCCATTTAAAAAAAAAATAAATTTTGCTGTGCCACAACTTTATGACCGACCCTGTATACTTAAATTTATTACTGGCCAATGGATATTTAAAAACCATATAACTTTTATATTTAACTTTTTGCGGTACCTCGTATATTTTACCTAATAATTAATAATCGATCGTTCCCATATACCGGGTGCGTCTCAAAAGTGGCTCACCCCCTATAACTTTTTTATTTTTTCAGATAAAAAAACGATATTTGGTATGTAAGTATATGACATAAATTGGGATTGGCTGACGTATTCAATTGTTTTTGGTCACTTTTTTTGGCACCCTCGGTATTTTTTTACTTTATTCGATAGAAAATGTCATTCTGAATAGAATAACATATCATATGTCAACTTTTGACATACTCGCTTAATTAAAAATTGTATTTTAAAATTCAATCTAGAGTGCGATGGCTATGTTAAAAATACTAATTCTTAATCAAGGAGCCTTGGAAAAATAGGTTTGATCGTCTAATGTTCTTAGTGTCTTGTCCTGGCCAGTTAGAAAATGCTCAAATCGTATTTTTAATCATATCTCAATTTTTTCATATGGAACGAGGGTGGCTCATTAGCATCTTTGGAAAAGCATTTTTTTACGAATAATTTGATACCCCACACTTGGTATTTCGAGTCAAATTTTCGTTCCGAACCGCAAATTATAATTTCAAATAAACCGTATGCGAAAATGTCAAAAGTTGACATATGATACGCCATTCTATTCAGAGTGTTATTTTCTATGAAACAAAGTAAAAAAATATCGAGGGTGCCATTTAAAAATCAAAAGTTGTAGTCATTTCCGGTGAAACAGGAAGTGACCGAAAACAATTGAATACGTCAATCAATCCTAATTTATGTCATATACTAACATACCAAATCTCGTTTTTTTATCTGAAAAAATAAAAAAATTATAGGGGTGAGCCACTTTTGAGACGCACCCGGTATATATACCCGGTATATATCAGACAACCTGTATATAAATTAGAAAGATAATAAGCATTTCTAGATAGTCTTCTTATTCAAAGCTAGATAGCGATAAATGCCCAAATTTACAAAAGAAAGTAAGATTAGATTACAGTTGTCGAAACATCCGTTATTGTACGAAATTTTATTATTTTAATTTTCTCCGTTGATGGGCAGGGGTTTAAATTTTTCGGATGAAAAATGACGTGAAAACGCTATGACCAATCAGAGCGCCATCAGATCATCCTATCAACTGATGCATGAAAATCCGAATAAATATTCAAATCGCCAAAAATTTAATTTCTAAGTGTAATTTTCAACTCTGAATAATATTAATAAATTGCGAGATGCCACTGTCTAGCGATATCAACGCCGGCGAGATACTATAGTAAAACCAATGATATTTCTACGAATTTGTGAAGTTATTTCCGTTCAATCATACTGATTAGTAAAAAACACCTAAATCTAAAGCTAAGGGGGAATAAAATTTAAAATAAAATGACTACACAAAACCGTATATATTTACAGAATATGTTGTCATTTATTATTAAAAAAGAACGACATGATTTAACGCACAACCAAACCAAAACTGGTAAACGAATCAAACTATTTTTGATTGGAAAAATACTGAAATATTCAGTGCATCACAAAACTAAACTAAATATCGCACGATTAAAAAGTATTTTCATTAAGCTGATACAGATGACAGTTAAACATTCTAAAGCCTCGGTCTATGTAGTTGAAGAACTATGTAGTTTCCGGCGTCACTTCAAAGAACCAATGAGACCCAAGAAAAATTCAAACAGTTGTCTAAATTTGAATTTAAAACTGCTTTCATTGGATCTTTCAAGTGTCGTCACTGACAGAATGTAGTTCTGAGAACGAGACTTGTGTCGATTTATATGCGCCGTCCATCGTTGATATTAAACAGTTTTATTCAAAGGTTGTATTTGTTTATTTCAAAAATGACAGCCTATATTTAAATATGATTGGAGTGACGGAACTATGGACCATAGATAAAGAAAACAAGTTTAGATTGGTAAGTACCCATAAGATCAATGTAAATATATTCTTACAACGGTCGCGATCCAAAGCTTTTGATCATTTCGGAGCGGTTCGGCTGTCTCCGGAATTATGTCGCCAGATATTGTTTATTCAAATTTATTATTATTTTCTTTTAATTTTATAAATAAAATAGTATGTTGCATATAAGAAACTTGTATGGAATACCTACGGAACATTGAAACCGACGTTATGCCACGATGGTAATTGGAGTTCACAGTTCACACAGCCTGGTAAGTTTTTTTAATGCCACTTTTTCACAAATATCACGGGTTTAGATAAAGAAAATTTAAATTTAACGCACTAGAGATAGATAATAACTTTAGACATGTTAAACACTTTTCGGTCTTTTTTCAATGAGGGCGGTTTAAATTTTGAAAGATTTTATAATTTTTGAAGATTCTGATTTTGACAAGAGAAAATTATTTCTGTTCTTGTTTGCGATTGTTCTTAGCAACCAGCAGCAAGCAGCGCCAGATCGCGACAACCCAACCCAAACCAAAACAATTATATGTTTTGGCGGGAAGCCGAGCATTCCAATCTAAATTATTCCAATCTTATTTCCTTTATCTATGCTATGGACGATTAATGAGAGATGCATGTAAACCCACACTTTTGTTATTTCCAATTAAAAATGTACAACTCTTTGATCACACTGTATATAAACGGAGGGTTAGGCCTGGTATAGGTCAGTTTCCTTTAATGGTATTTAATATTATAGAGTGGGCACATTTTAAAAAAAACAAGGAGTGCTATCAATGACACTAATGCATAGTGACCCATGAGCGTGAGCTTTGTTATTTTTATTCTAACACTATAAAATAATATTTCGAATTATTTCGCGCGGCACTGTCTAGGCGTTCATTGGCAAAACATTGGTCCTGTCTCCTGTCTCCTTCTTAAAATGCGCCCACTCTACAAGCTTTCCCTCTACAATCGATTTTTTGTTCCTAAATATATTTTTTAATTGATTCGAATATTTAACTTCCTAAATCTCATAATAATTGTTGTATCACATATATAAAGAAATACTGCCGAATGATTTAGACCCCTTTATATATCTTTCAACGACGCTACAGACCATCCTAATACTCTCCTGTCAAAACCACATGTCAATAAATTAACTCCTCCCAGTGTTTCATCAGCCCATGCAGTGCCAGCCACCATTCTGTTGTGACCTTGACGACTTGATCTGGGCAATCTAGCTAATCTGAAGAATTATTTAGAAACAATCACAGGCGTCAATATTTTTCAAGCAAAAATTATTTCTTGAGAATACATTTGTGCCTACATTACTATCGAGTAGAGAAGGCCCGCCGGCCAACGTATGATGTCATTAGACTGAGGAAACAGGCAATACTCTTTACAGGTACACACTGGTTCTTTTATAGCACTGACATATAGGTCTTTAAAATTCTATCAAATTCATCACAATATTCAAAATTTACAGTTATTTAGATACACACTTTTTTCTATGCTTATAGTATTAATTAATTATTAAACTATTAAAACACCTAATTTCAACATATTTTAGCTATAATAAAGAAAAACCTTGTTTAGAAATAAACGAATTGTCATTTCTCCAAACCAAAACATTATCATATGACTCAGGGTCGGACAGGGACCAGGTGGAGTTGTAAGAAGGGGTCAGGGTGGAAATTTTTTGGGCATTTTTTCGCCTTACGTTTTGCAAATTTTTCCCTATATTAAACTGTTAATGTTCCCTGATAAAATCAGGGAACTACCCGTAATGCCATGCAAATGTAAATATAGTTAATAGAAAAAAGGTTTTGGGAATAACCTCAGAATATTACCGTCACTTCTTTCTGTTTCATTTCTATACGGAAAGTAACTAATTAAGAAAAAACTAGAACATTGCACCACAGATTGTACTTAGATTTTTGTAAACATATGACACACAATTGTTATATTAGCTAAGTTATTATTCTTCCCCAACTCAGTTTACAATAGTGCTTAGTAACAGCAAGTTGTATCAAAAAAATAAATAGTTAGTAGTAAAATACGTAGTGTTACAATTTGTAATAATGATTTTCATTTAAGTTTCAACAAGTACAATCTGAATATTTCCTGACACAAATTGTGTGAATTACCAACACACTTGTTCGCTATTTTCATATAAAATCAAGCATAATATTTAACTATTTTGAAGATCTTGTAACAGAAATAAAAGCTGCAAAGTGATGCCTAGTACCCTTTTAGGTTTGGTTTGGTTTGGTGCAGCGGTGTTTTCTACAATTGTGGAGTTTATTACAATTTATTTTTTCCGTGTATTTAAGAATAAATAATAAACTATTTTATATGTAGGTCCTAAGGCAGGGGGGACCAGGGTAGGGTGAGGCCCGGGTATAATCGCCACCCTGACTATATGGCCAGTCTGATCCTGATATGACTGACATTTGAGTGTTCGCCCGCCTTCCTTAAAACACACCATATGATCGAAAAAAAAAACCGGCGTCCAGTTCCCATATAAATTTACGTATAAAATGACAGTGACCTTCATTTCATCACATTGTGTAGGTAGATATGTATGTCAAAGCGGCCTTCTCTCGCGATAGTAACGGTATATATGAAATAGAATTATTTAAATACATACCTGGCGCCATTTAAATCAAATAAACGAATATGTCTATTGTCATGAGGAATGGCAATAATACCATTTGAAGAAACCGAAAGTCGGTTAACGGCAGAGTCAACTCTTATTGTTGCAACAGGAGATCGCATATTGCGCAAGTCCCACACTTTCACGCTACGATCGTCCGAACCCGATACTACCTTGTCTTCTCTTGTAAATACTGCAGAAGTAACGCTCCTAAACATATAAACAAGTTAAAAATGTTTGAAAAAATTGTTTAATCCAATTATCTAACTCAGTATGTCCTTGGAAAACTGAAACAGCATGCACAGTTTCCCTGAAGTCCCAAAGTCTGAAAGTTGTATCTCTAGATGATGTTACTGCTAGTTTCTGAGTAGGGTGACTAGCAGTGTGTGTCAATTCCTGATCATGACCTATTAAAAAATATCAAACATACAACATTATTTGTACCCATATACTTATATATCATTTACCTGAAAGTGTGACAATTTGTGATCCAGTTTCAACATCATGCAATATAGCTGATCGATCCCATGAAGCTGTTATAACCATTTCAGCACCTGTTAACCACTCAGCTGCAGCAACAGCACCTGAATGACCTATCAATTCTCCTATAGGAGTCCTCAATGTGGGTACTCGTTGACAGCTTCCTACATCAGAAGTATCGTCTCCTGCTCCTAAAGTATCATTACCATCTTCTAATTCTTCTTCAGACGAGTGCCCTTTCTATAAGTATAAAGATTAAAAGCATTTCAAGACTTTAAAATTTAAAAATGTCATTACGGGCAAATCCCAATTTAAAGCTGCTTGCCAAATATGAGCAACACAGTCTCCACCTCCAGTGAGAACAAAATCTTTAGAAGGGTGAAATCTAATGGAATTGACTGAGCCAGAGTGACCTTGGTATTGGAGCAGACATCTGGTAGATTCAATACTCCATATACAAGCAGTATGATCTATAAAAATAAAATGTAGTATGGATGTATGATGTTGAAATACAATAATTATCTCAAGTTTACCTGCTGATGCAGTGCCAATTGCAGGAATCCCTGGTCTAGCTACAGATACCTCCCAAACTCCATCTTTATGCCCTAAATATTCTTTAATCAAACCACAGCTATAGTTTGGAGCTTTAAAACTTGAGACAATTTTACTTGTTTGAGCCTTAAGTTTATGAGCTGTTTTAGATTTCTGAGATGAGGAACTCACTGTAATAAATACAAAAACATAATATAAATCATAATATTACTAAAATAGGTTTATAGAACTTGCATTTCTTGGTGAGCACTTTGGAAAAATTGTTTTCAAGATCTGGACAATCAGGTTTGTCAAATGTATCTTTTTCTAACTTCTCATTTAGTATTTCAATCTTCTCTTGCACTAAAATTAATATTGAGTTAAAAGTTCAAGCATATCATCACGATATTGATCAACTTACAATTCAAATTCTCTTGATAAAGTAAATCAAATTCTTTCTCAATTTGCATAAAGAGTGCATGTAGTCTGCTTTTGTAAGCCAGGGATAACGAATCGTTTTCAATATCGCTTCTGAATCCAGTTGAAAAATCACTATCCATGATAGCAGCACTCTGAGGACGGTTTAGTGATCCTCTTTTTGCTTTTTGAATTTTATTATACGGCGTATTCTGATTGACGGACATGTTTACTTCTAAATTGCACTGTTTTATGTTTTAAGTTTTCAGAAAAAAGGGAATAATTGAAGTAATTATACTTTAACCTAATGTAAGTCGAGCATTAAAACACGTCGTTTATAAAACAAAAACGTTATTCCCAAAATATTGTTTTATAACAAATATAATGGTACTACTATGTAATGCTTCAATATAGAATAAACATTTAAAACCATTTAAATTAGTAAAAATCAATGTGCAGAGGTCAAGGTTTCCCTCAATTTTAAGGGGAGTTTAAAATTTAAAAAAATAACAAATTATATCTGGGTGTGTCTACAGATAGACGGATGTGCGGGTACTATAAGAAAAACATTTGTAATATAAATACACTGATTAAAATATAACAATATGTTTAAGGTATATCATATGTATTTTCAAAAATCCTACTTAGCAAAATGGTTTAAGTTAAGGCTTTCTATTTATATTGAATTATGTTTTTTTAATTTTATAACCGTGTTTTGTATTTATCTGCGAAACGTTAGTCACTCGGGCTTAAGTTGACACAAAATTTTGAGGCTATGTTATTGTTTTGACGTTTCCAATCCAAAATAGCAAATGCCGTAAATAGTGATTTATTTATGATTGGTGACGCAATTATTTTTTATTGAAAACTATTTCCTGCAAAAGATTTCAACTGGAAAGCAATGGGGTTGTTTGGAAAATCGCAGCAGCGGAATCCAAAAGACCTGGTCACGGAATGGAATCACAAGTTGAGGAAAGAAGGGTACCAACTGGACCGCCAAATCAATTCAATAAAAAGAGAAGAAGAAAAAGTTAAACGTTCTCTAAAAGAAGCTGCTAAAAAGGGCGATAAAGACACTTGCACGATTTTGGCAAAAGAAATACTAAGAGCTAGAAAAGCTGTTAATAAAATATATACATCAAAGGCTCATATTAATTCTGTAATGTTGCAAATGAAAAATCAGCTAGCAACTTTAAGAGTAGCTGGCTCCTTACAAAAATCAACCGAAGTAATGCAAGCAATGCAGTCTCTTATTCGCGTGCCTGATGTGGCTCATACAATGCAAGAAATGTCAAAAGAAATGATGAAGGCAGGTATAATTGAAGAAATGCTTGATGAAACCTTTGACGATATGGAAAATACTGAGGAAGAGGAAGAAGCGGCGCAACAGGAAATTGATAAAGTACTATTTGAAATCACTGAAGGGAAAATTGGAGAAGCTCCATTGCCACCTTCAGAGCCCACAGAGAAAGTTAGGGAGAGTGATAATCCTGGCCTAGACAGTGAAGAAGATGAAACGGAGCTTGAAGAAATGCAAAGTAGATTAGCAGCTTTAAAATCATAAGGTATATATTAAAAATATGAGGTAATTAGTATTAAGTAGATAACTGGTGATTCATCCAGATAATTTTGCAATTACTGCTGAAAATAAAGATATTTCATGTAATAAAAAATAAAGATCATTTACAAGTTTTATTCTCATATTACAATCTCTGACATATTTATATCAAGATCAATTTTTTCTTTAATTTTTTGTATCAAATAGGGAATCTTTTCAAATTCATTTAGTTCCAACCAACATTCTAAATTGACAGGAATAACATGGCAATTTTTTGTAATTCCTTCTAAGATCTCAATAGATTTTGTTACATTAGCGCGTTGAGTTTTTGTATTTACTGTATAATTAAAATCTTGCAATCCTAAAATTAGAACCCTGAAAATAAATTATTTATATAGGTATGTTCTAATTTGATTATAATATATTTACAATTGACTGTTGTCGTTTATACTTAAGTCTTCTATAAACTTCACATCTTGGTCCAATATTATTGGATCTCCATTATCATCGAAAACAATTGCATGATCTACAAATTATTTTTTACAGTGTATTAAGAAGCATTTAGAAACACACTGGCAAAAGGATCACCAAGGAGGCTTAAAAAGAACTTAAATTGTGAATATGTGATAAAATTTCTTTCCTAGTACTCTAAATGACTTGTTTTGACATATTCCATTAAAATAAGCTTTTCTTAACAATTGCTTTGAAAAATAATATTTATATCTCGTAGCTATGCACTTACCAATAATGTCTCCATATTTTGAATACAAATTTGTTAATAAGTATTTTTTGTTACCCAGACCTCTCTCTAAAGCGGCCTGAAGTGGAAAATCATTTGTTATAATAATTCTATCAACCAATGTCTTTGGTTCAAAATTTGAAGGCAGTAGATCACTTAATTCAGGCTTATCCCTTGTTATACATTTCCAAATTATAAAGTAGTTTTCAAAATCAGATATAAAACCTGTAAAGAAATATTTAAATACTTATATACTTGTTCTGAAATCGTCAAACAATTATTTTTGTTGTAAGGATAGTATTATAAATTTAAAAATGATATTTATTTATGTATAGTTCTAATATACAATATATTTTTATTTAATGTAAATATTGTTAATATTTTATTTTGCAATAAATTAACACAAAGGAAATGCATTTTTTAGTATGTTACTTTTATTTACCTTTCCTAAATATGGCCTCTAAATAGGATCTGTTTAGAGCTCTAGATAATACATCCGCTTTGTATATCTCTAACAGACATAACGCTGCGGCAAATCGTATCCAAATTATTTCTCTCTTGTCAACTAAACCTAAATCCCTTGCATTCTTAATCCAGTTTGATAAACTATCCCAATAAATAGGTTTGTAGTCACTTAAAATTAGAGATATAACAATGCTGTAGCAACGGCTCGGAGTGCATATCAGGGAAGGGTCATTGTGCACTAAAGATGAAGCATAATCCAGAAGATTTTTATTGAAATGATGCTAGAAAAAGAAAATACTTTTTAGCTAACTTGCTTGGGCTCTAATTCCTTGGGTTTAAAAAACTAGCTAAAGGTATTTTTTATTAAAGTACAAAATTTATTAATTATTATATTTATTAAAGAGTTTGAATTATATGTTACGCTTCGTCCTACGTGGGCGACAAAAGGGAGCGGGCGACGCGTACGACAACAGAGGGCGATGAGCGCGACTCGCACGACATTTTAATCGTCTACGATGCCGCTTCAGTCGCGCGCATCTCCTACTACAATCTCCTACCTAGGACAGCATCGTAAGAAAACGTTGTTTGATAAATACGCGGCGCTCGCACCGCCCGTATCGCGCGCTTTTGTCTCCCACATAGAATGAAGCGTGAGCTCAAATGCACTGACGACCAGGTCGCAGCGAATAGCATTTGATTTAATGGTATGGCTTGGTCGCTTGATTTATTTGTTTTATCACTTGATTTAATGGTCTCGCCGTTGGCTAGTCGCTGCGACCTGGCGGTCAGTGCTTTTGAGCTCTAATAGTTTAGTGACTTACCACTCTTGAGCTATGTCTTAATATATCAGCTGTCATTTTCATATCAATTTTGTTCTCCACACAATAATTGGCGCAAGTATCAAAAAAAACTTCTTGATAATAAAATGAGTAGAGTCTGCAATATTTCTGAGCCATTCTATGTAACACCATACCTACATCTTCAGTAGATATTCCATCAAAATTAAGTATAAGATCAGTAACACTTTTTCGGTACAGGGCTTCAATATCATAATTTCTTCTCATGGCACACAACGATAAAATTATACTCTTTGCCGTGGGCATATCAAACTCCCCTTCATACTCTTCTAAACTCCTCACTATCAAATTTATTGTTTTGTCATTTAGACGCCTTCTAAGAGCATAAAATAAGCATGCTGCCATATGTGCTGGGTTTTGTTTATCCATTTTTATCGGTATTTGAATCTCAAATACCAAAGGTAATGCTATATTCAGGGCTTCAACTAAAGGTGTAGGTTCGAAAGATTTCAGTAAAAAGTCTAAGAAGAGTAGCTGATAAATATTAAGTGAGTTCACGTTATGCCTGATCAACTGTAGAAGAATCTGTGATATTGTACTATTAGTTGGTACTTTTATGAATGTTAAAATTTTTAAGGATTCAACTACATCATTTAAATCTAGTACGCCAGCCTGTGATTTTAAATTACGACAGAGTTTCTCAAAATTGGGGTTGTTCAATAGGGATTTCATGGACGAAAAATTAGTCCTACAAATGAACTATTAATTATAGAATAATTCACTAAATATCTTCCTGTACCTTTCATTTTTTTCTAAATAAAATATTGATTTTAAAGCTTGAAGAACATGTTTACTGTTCATAGTTTTATGATTTTCACCAATTATGTTTAATATTTTTGATGAGGAAGTTGCTACTTTAAGACTATTGCATATTTCATCTTCATTATTTGTTGACATTTTAATTATATCACCTAAAAATATTTATGTTACCATTTTTCCATATACAAATTATAATTTTTTTACCTGAAGATAAAATTGTTCCTTTTGAAAAGGAAAAATGTCGAAAACATCCTGTACGCTTCCATAATGTCCATGGCAATGTAAAACTTGAAAGTGTTTTAGTCATAGTTCTAGAATATCAATTAAATACATAATTAATATTTCGTAATATTAGGTCATTATTACAGTCACAGAAAAAGTACATAAACTTATAATATTAGAAAATTCACACACAAATCTCATGATTATAAGTAGTAGTAATTAACTAGTTATTCCAACTTAAAAATGCCGCGTTCATAGAAAGATCTTATTGGTCAAAATTATTTATAGTGGGGAAAAATCAACTGTCATTACTCCAATCAAAAATTCTTTGAAAAATGTCAGAAAACATTGACAAAATGACTTGGTACATTTGTAAATAAAAATAGTTGATTGTTGAATAACTGTTTCATTTCTGACTTTATATCGTGCGTGGAACAAGACAAAGTTATAGTTTAATACAGTGTGCGTAAAAAATAGTTTAGTGTGATTTGTAAGACAACAGTGACAACAGTGGAAAAATAAGTATGGATGAAAATTATAAGGAAAAAAGGGCGGCCAAATTGGGGTATAGACCGCAAAAGGAAAACGAATACAACGAACTGCTACCCTACGCTCAATATATAGACGAAGAATCGGAAAAACTATTCATTGCAATCAAAACTAACCTTGTCAAATCTGTTTTGGCTCGCGAAATGCGACCAGGATGTGCCCTGTGGACGTCTCGACTTAATAAGTAAGCTATAACTCTTTTATACTTATTTTAAATTGATATATAAATATGCAGTTAAACTATTATCTTAAAATTCAAATTATATAAAATATTTTGCCATGTTGAGGATGACATTTAAATTTCTGACTTTGACGGACGACATTTATTGGAATATCATTGTCACGTGATTTGTCATTTGTATCTTGGAATATTCAAAATTTTCCCGCTTTTGTTTTAGATATATAAAAATTTATGGATTAAAATTTTCAAAGGAGGACCATATCGCTTTGGTAAAGCTATTTTATGAATTAATGACTATTTCCGATTTGGAACCAACGAGAGTGAACAAATGCGCTTTTACGTTATCGCAGTTACTTAAGTAAGTACCTGTTTTTTGTTAATTAATAATTGCTTAGAATTTATTAGTGACTGATTTTATATTAGAAAGAAACATCTATTGAGTCGAGATGACCTACAATTGGAGTGGCGTCCTTTATATGATTTATGCATTCGAGCATTAGATAAAAGTAAAAGTGGTATAGGAATGTATAGGTATTTTTCAACTTTTGAAAGTACCTTGTTCACTGCAATAAAAAATTGCAAATTGTAAGTGTATACATATAATAATTACTGCATACAAAATAAATTTGTTGATTAAACGTATTTTAGATATTTTCCTGCATCAGCTACCCAAGAAATTTTAGATGAATTTAGATCAAAGTTGTGCCCTTTTAATGTTGATGGAATATCAACTGCAATTCAGTATCTTGAATTATTTTTACCCACTGCTATGAAGCCTGAAGAGGCACCTATAGGATATAATCTATGGCTTAATGAATTTATGAACTTATGGGAAGCATGCCCTAATGCTGGCAGTTGGGAAAACGTTAGCTTTTTCAATACCAGTCAGAATTAATTACACGTTTATTATTATTTTAGAACATGATGTGGATATTTTCTGGCTTAGCCTCCTATCAAATGGGTTATGTTGATTGGGAGCCATATGTAGAGGGTATGTTTGTTAGATTTCAGAGGTGTTTACAATTGCCTGTAAATTTTAAGCAGCGTCAATTGGGAAAACAATTCAAAATTGACACTTCCGCCATGGCCATCTGGATTATATGCTCACTGCATAAAGACAATTCTACATTTTTCCATTTGGAGAAACTGATGCAGACTTTAGAATCTTACTTTTATCCAGCAAATACGGGAAGGTATGGTGAATGAAATTTTATTTTTGTAGGTTTATTACCTTAGTGCAGTTAAACTGCACCTTAAAATGCAGTAAAATTATATGGAAAATAAGACATATGCTGGAATATAATGTTTACTGACCGGCGGCCACTAAAAACTAGTCCCAATTTCAAAGTTGGATTTCTCGCGAACTACTCATTTGATTATGATATATTTTTTTTAATTGTAAATTAATTCCTTCTTAACTGATGCTAGGTCAGAATTGTTTATTCCAAATTTATTTTGACTATACTGGGTGCGTCTCAAAAGTGGCTCACCCCTATAACTTCTTTATTTTTTCAGATAAAATAACAAGATTTGGTATGTTAGTATATGACATAAATTGGGATTGATTGACGTATTCAATTGTTTTCGGTTACTTCCGGTTTCACCGGAAATGACTACAACTTTTGATTTTTAAATGGCACCCTCGGTATTTTTTTACTTTATTCGATAGTAAATGACACTCTGAATCGAATGACATATCATATGTCAACTTTTGACATTTTGGCATATGGTTTATTTGAAATTGTAACATGCGGTTCATAACGACGATTTGACTCAAAATACCAAGTGCGTGGTATCAAATTATTCGTAAAAAAATGCTTTTTCCAAATATGCTAATGAGCCACCCTCGTTCCATTTGAAAAAATTGAGATATGATTAAAAATACGATTTGAGCATCTTTTAACCGGCCAGAACAAGACAGTAAAAATATTAGACAATCAAATCTATTTTTCCAAGGCTCCTTGATTAAAAATTAGTGTTTTTAATACAGCCATGGTACTCTAGATTGAAATTTAAAATAGAATTTATTTTTGAGTAACTATGTCAAAAATTGACATATGATATGTCATTCGATTCAGAATGTTATTTTCTATCGAATAAAATAAAAAAAATACCGAGGGTGCCATTTAAAAATCAAAAGTTGTAGTCATTTCCGGTGACCGAAAACAATTGAATATGTCAATCAATCCCAATTTATCTCATACACTAACATACCAAATCTCGTTGTTTTATCTGTCAGCCCCTTTTGAGACGCACCCGGTATACAGGACACAACAATAAAACGAAGTTTTTTGCCCGAACTTTGTAACACCCTGTAGGGTGCAGCAGCTGTAGTAGCTATTGCTAAATCAAATCACATTGTAGCCTCATCTTTTGTGAGCATTTTGTTTTCTTAATCACGACATTATATCTCTGTTTGTATTGGAGACACGCTGCTTTCTTTTAGTCTTCGTCGGATTGTTCTCGCACTGACTTGAGTTCTACCCACGGCTTGTAGCAGATTGTTGTTGATTCTGAAACGCTGTAATTTTACGATTTCGTATTATAAGTATTCAGGACAATAAAGCGGTCGTCAATTTCATTTTTCTTCCGTTTTCTTCCGGAACACTCTCCTGGTGAAATTTCCCGTTTCCTTATACCGATTCCAGGCAACCTGAACTGTTCGAGGTATACCCAGGGTATTGTACACATAACGTTGACTTCGGCCATCCTCAATTAAAGCCACATTACGAGCCACCATCCGTTAAAGATAATGGCATTTTTTAATTTGACAACCGTTGTTGTCATATTGCAAATATTCATAAGTCCGTTTTTGCGTATGTCGCCTTGATTATTTACACATAAAAGTTTCTGCCTGCGAAGCATTTGTTCGAGGCGTTTGTTTTAAAGCAGCGTATCTCCAATACTATCAGAGATAAAATGTCGTGATTAAAAAAACGCCCACAAATAAAACAAAAAAACGCTCACAAAAAAAATGCTCACAAAAGATGAGGCTACAATGTGATTTGATTTAGCAATAGCTACTACAGCTGCTGCACCCTACATAATCTAATTAGTGGTTAGCGAGAAATCCAACTTTGAAATTGGGACTAGTTTTTAGCGTGGCCGTTTTTTTATTACTAAAACATTAAAAACTTGCGATGATTTCGGAGTACGAGCATTGGTATCCCGAAAACCAGAATAGATACGCATATAGATACAAAGATGGTTAAATTGGGGTAAAGGCATCGAAAAAGTTTTAATAATTTCAAGGATTGTTGAGTTATTTGATTTTTTTTTATTTTTTCCTGTCATTACTTTTTGGAAAATCCCAAAACTGATTACACATTCTCATAGCCACTTTATCACGGCTATATACCTGATAGTATTTTTAGATTCTCAAATTAGCTGATAATTTGTGAGATACATGGCCAACTTAATTTTTTTAAATACGGACCTCCATTTTTTATTTCACCGCCATTTTCTTATTTGTTTTTGTTTTAGGTACTTAACGTGGCTATATGAGAATGTGAAATTAGTTTTTGGTTGTCTAAAAAGTTACGACAGGAAAAAATAGAATTGATTTTTAAAAAAAAATCCTTTTTTTCAAAATAACTGAGCAATCCTTGAATTTTTTAAAATTTTTTTGATGGCATCTTGGTGAACATCCCAAGGCGCAACTTTGCCCCAATTTAACCATGTTCGTATCTATTACGGTTACCGAGATCTATGCTCGTACCCTGAATTTATAGCACCCTGTATATAAGCATATGAACAATTGATATTTAAAGGGAATAAAATATTTTTCTACAGGTGGACTATAAAACTGCGAGAGTTACTTAAAAAACTGACCTTCTTTTTCGTTCAGCGATTACATTGGGAACGTTTCAAGAAGCCCTCGTGGAACAACAACGTTCCCGATCATTTCAAACTGACAGATGACGATATAGATCGCTTCGTTAACATACTGAAACCCTGTGTCGAGCCTGCCATGTATTCTCGCCTAGGGTCACAAGATGTCATCTTAACTTTGTCATATTTAGCTTCTCTTAGACCGAATTTGATTATACCCGGTATTTTGGACAAACTCTACGCTTCCATGGACAGTTTGACTGAGCCTCATAAGCTCACGTCATCGATGATGGCCGTTGTTGCCGTAGGAAGGTAAGAGTACCCCTTTTTATTTTTTTACCATTTTTGTGTTTGGTATATTTGATCTGAGTAAACGTTTATGAACAAAATTTAAGTTAACTATTTTATAATTTTATTTATTTTTTATTTTTAGTTTTCATTATATTATTCTATATATATATTTATGTTCTTATTTAATTTTCACGCGAAAGTCAAAGATAGAAGTAGTTGACTTGTCTCATACTGGGTGTCTTTGAAATAAGTACCGTATGATCGAAACAAAAACGGCGCGTCCAGTTGGCTTGAAAATGACGATCGATCATAGTCCCCATATAATTTTAGATATAAAATGGCAACGATCTTCATTTCATAGCCATCGCTGACGCCGTTTTTCTCTATCATATTGTATTTTAAGGAGTGGCCAAACCCACGTTTTTCTTCAATATCAAATCGTTATTCCCACCCTGATGAAGATGTAAGCGAAACGTATCCAACTTTGCAGGGTGGGATCGTGCACACCATAAAGTATACCTTAGGATTACTTTATGGTGTGCACTGTCACTCACATAGCCTACCCTCCAAATTTGGTCGCGCCTACCCTCCAAATTTGGTCGACATCAACTTTTGACGTTTCTCGCGTCAAAACTAACTGTGACAGTGACACATGTCGTATACGGTCAAGTTGGCCTTGGTCCAATCTATCGACATACCCAATTTCATTTAAATCGAGCGATTTTTTGATGAAAAGATGGGTCTTTTCGAGCCCTGTCTACATTCGAAGTTTCAACCCCCTAGCTCACATAAGGCCCGAGTTATGACGCTCGAAAGACCCATTAAATGGGACGATTTTTTGAAACGTCGTTAAAGTATCATGAAAAGTTGGAGCTCTTCGAGCCCCATTTACATTCCGAGTTTCAGTCCCCTAGCTCACATAGGGCCCGAGTTACGACGCTCCAAGATCGTTACGACTTTTCCTCTCGCGTCTCGTGTGGGTCGTGTCACGGCCTTTAATTTTTAGTCCCATCGCGCGTAAAGAAGTTTCACTTCAAAAAAATAACGTTAACATTTTAAGACCGGCACTCAGCTGTAATTATTCGACGCCTTGTGGTGCTATACAGTATTGTTTGCCACGTGTGCTTAAAAATAAGTGGTGTTCTAGAATAAATTATTAGTAATGTACAATGATATGATATAATTAATTTCCGAAATTTTTTGTATAGAAAATTAAAATTAGATTAGAATGTGGTAACATTGAAAAGCTTCGCTAAACAGTCAAGAAATATGAGGAGAATGAACCTGCAGTACTAAAAAGATATGTAAAATTTTCGCAAAATGTAAAACAAAACCCTTGATATACAAGTACAAACCTAACAAAAATATTTTTCTGGCAAAAAACTTACATGTTAAAATTCAGACCATGGATTTTATTTTACAATAATTATAAAACACCGATATTTTACAGACATATGGTACAAGGCACTCACAACAACTATCCTGAAGGCCCTACTCATGTGATTCCTCTTTTGATGGCCCTTTTACCGGGTATCGATCCCAACGACATCCGAAAGTCTTACGTCACCTTTAATTTTATCGTGCGTTTCGTTAGTATGGTGCCTCTAATCAATTGTTCAGATGCCTACAATCACTACAACAACCTGACTGAAGAAGAACACTTGTTATGTGAAGCTACAGCAGGATTCGAGGATTTCGTCCTGCAATTTTTTGATAAACTGATCGTGTGGGTCGATTCGAGCTCGCTGGATTTCGTTAGATTGGAACAGATGGCCAGCAACAACAATTCAAAGAACAGATCGGAATCTATAGCTGAGTCAGCCGTGGGAAGCCTCGTTCATGCCGTTTTGAATCAGTGTTCTCCATCGATATTTCATGTAATTAATATTTTTATAGTCACAGGGAATTACTGAATTTGTTAATAGTTGCAAAAGGCTCGTTCAAATATAGTTATTTCCACATAAAATCCCTCCTTTTGACATTTGACACCTTGAACGCTTTGACTGAAAAGGAAAAAACTTCAGACAGTGGATACAAATATGTTCATAGACACTTTGAATACTTATAGCAGGTTATGTTTTATTTAAAAAATGATCAATTTTGATTCCTTTGAAGGATAATTTCCCACCTTTGGGAAAAGTTTTACAGGTAGTACTATATTCGCATTATTTTTTTGTAACTAATAACTAATTCCAGGTGACTATTCATTTGAACATGTTTTTTTCCTGTGAATTTAAAGAATTTTTTCCCCTTAGAGTGCCTTAAGAAAAGTTTACAACTTTGTGGCGGACAGAATTCTGGAGGTGCAAGTAGCAGGAAAATTAGTTGCGGTAGTCGTTCGTGCTTTTTCCATGGTCAATCCGAAAGAAACCTTAAAAGTTTTCTTGCCTTATTTGATGGGTGCTATAGAAGAAGCCTTAAATGAAAATCCGAACCTGATCCAGGATGAACACGTTGACGCAAAGTTCTTGTACAATATGATGATTTTATCTGAGGTATTTATTATAGACTAAAGCCCCGTTCTCAGAACGATGTCGTGTCGTCAGCTACACTGATTGACACTTCAAACGACCAATGGGAGCTGTACTAAATTTAAAATTGGCAGCTGTTTGAATTTTGTACAAATCTCATTGGTTCTTTCGACGTGTCGCTGTTCTGAGAACGACGTTGTGTCTCTGGCTACACAGTTTGAGATTTCAAACAACCAATGAGAGCTGTACTAAATGTAAAATTAACAGCTGTTTGAATTTTGTACAAATCTGATTGGTCCTTTTGACGTGTCGCCCGCGACACGACGTCGTTCTGAGAACTTTGTATTGTCGAGCGACACGTCAAAAGAACCAATGAGATTTGCACAAAATTTAAAATTGACAGCTGTTTAAATTTCCTACAAATCTGATTGGTTCTTTTGACGTGTTCCAACGACGTCGTGTCGCCAGCTACACTGGTTGACACTTCAAAACGACCAATGGGAGCTGTACTAAATTTAAAATTGACAGCTGTTTGAACTTTGTACAAATCTCATTGGTTCTTTTGATGTGTCGCTGTTCTGAGAACGGGGCTTTATAAACAGAAATTTTTTATGTAGAAGAATCTACAACTTCAAAAGTAGGTTGTTTTCCATAATTTTTGTCACAATCTTGTTAAATATTTTCGATGTGTTATAATCTGTGTTCTTATGTGATGTATTATATACTCTATGTACTCGACTGTGGCTCTCAAATAAGCATTTTTAATTTAAGGACTGTTAAATAATTTAAAGTATTATAAGGGATGGTAGATCTGAAGAAACGAGTATTTTCTATTTGTCATATTTAAAATTAATTGAAAATGAAAATAGTGATTATTTATCTTTAAAAATTAAAAAAATATACCTATTATGCCGGGTCCAGACCAAGGCGACAAAAAGTAAACACGATTTTGAGACAAAACGAGACAAACTTAAGACAAAAAATGGGGATTTCTGACAAGACAAGCTTCAGACAAATTGTCCACACTGGAAAGACAGAAGTACAACAAAGTCAAAAGTTTAGTTGTTGCGAATGAGTTTTATTAACCATGTGTGATTTCACTGGTCTCCTACTGTGGGCAGCACACGCCATCTACACTGCGCCCACAACTTGTCGTAAAATATACGAACAAAACATAGACACTTTGATCCTTACCGACTCGAGACGGGACACTGAAAAGTCTCAGAATTTTTAAACAAAACAAAAATGAGACAAAAATGTCGCAGAAATGTATTGGATTTGTCGCAATTTTGTCGTAAAACATAAATGTTTCTGTCTTGTTTATTATGTCGCATTACATTTAAGAAAAATATAAAATTTTTACAATTTTTTCCGCGAAAACAACTCATGAGCATGTTTCTGTTAAAATATTCTAGCAATTAGAATATGTATTTGTATCTAGCAAAATAAAAACACTAAATCACCACAATACACCAAAACACTTTTACTTTTACACTGGACGCGCGTTTCGCTAACCATGTTAGCATCATCAGCAGATATAATCATCTATTACACTCAGCTACATTCATATCCACATATCCATTACACTCAGCTACATTCCTAATGTAATCTCTTTCTATTTCATATCTTTCGTTGGAAAGTGGGAAACTAAGTAATCTATGAACTAAGAAATTTAAACTAGCCATTTTATGTTCAACACTATGATGTGATTCATTAGGAATATATCTGCGTGTGGTCGTATTTTTCCTATAGATATCAAATTCCAGGCAATTATTAGCATTTCTAATAACTAATACATCTAGAAATGGTAATCTGTCGTTGTTCTCAATTTCATGCGTAAATTTAATGGAAGGAAAACGATTATTTAACTTAGAAATAAAATTATCTATGGTGTCTGAATGTGTGTCAAAAACAGCAAAAATATCATCCACATACCTAAACCAAACTCTTGGAAAATACTCAAACTGATTCTTAGCCTCCACTTCAAACCTAATTAGCCAAAAATGGAGACAATGGATTACCCATTGCTGTACCTTCCCGCTGTTCAAAAAAGTTGTTATTAAATTGAAAACAATTTTGTTTGAAAAAAGCTCTAAAAACAAACATGTTTTCCAAAGAGACATAAACATAGTAGAAAATCTTTCTTCGCAGACTTTTGATAAACAAGAGCTCAGTTTATTAAACAAAGGTTTAAAGTTTGCATTGCCCAACTCTGGTAGCGCTTTGGAGGAAATCGTCGTTGGTGTTGAAACTGCTATTCAGCACTTGCCCGAGGCTTCTAAAGTATTTGCAAGAGAGGCTTGTAGAAATCAGTTATCAAAAAATATCGTTTCAAGTAAATCATTAAAATCTAACAAGGAGCACAATATTGTCAAGAGTTTGCGTAACAAAGATTGTTTCTACCTAAAAGCTGATAAGGGAAATAAGGTTGTTATATTAGATAAAAAGACTATTACGATAAGGTTAACAACTTAATCGATAATGGCCCCTACATAAATTTGAAAAAGAATCCTTTGTCTAAGATGGTAGCAGACGTTAAAAAACTCTAAAAGAATGTAACACCCTTATTGATCTTTCTTTAAAGAGGAAATTGCAAGTATCCAATCCCTCATTACCAAAATTGTATGCTTTGCCAAAAATTCATAAACCGGAACTATGCGCCCAATTGTATCGGCTGTAGGTTCTCCGACTTATAATTTGGCAAAATGGTTATCAAGGGAGTTCGAAAATTTACCTGATCAAGAACCTTCTTTCGCAGTTAAAAATAATATTGAATTCATTAACAAAATTAAAGATATAACATTGCATGAAGGTGAAATTTTGGTCTCCTTTGATGTATCTTCGTTGTTCCCAAGTGTTCCAATTCCACATACTTTAGGCTACTTGAAGGAATTACTGAACGCAAATGGTCTCGACAACAAAACTGTGATTGAATATATTGAGCTTACATCGTTATGTATGAAACAAAATTGTTTTCAATTTAATAACAACTTTTTTTGAACAGCGGGATGTGTAATCCATTGTCTCCATTTTTGTCTAATTTATTCGTGAGCAGGTTTGAAGTGGAGGCTAAGAATCAGTTTGAGTATTTTCCAAGAGTATGGTTTAGGTATGTGGATGATATTTTTGCTGTTTTTGACACACATTCAGACACCATAGATAATTTTATTTCTAAGTTAAATAATCGTTTTCCTTCCATTAAATTTACGCATGAAATTGAGAACAACGACAGATTACCATTTCTAGATGTATGAGTTATTAGAAATATTAATAATTGCCTGGAATTTAATATCTATAGGAAAAATACGACCACACGCAGATATATTCCTAATGAATCACATCATAGTGTTGAACATAAAATGGCTAGTTTAAATTTCCTAGTTCATAGATAACTTAGTTTCCCACTTTCCAAAGAAAGATATGAAATAGAAAGAGATTACATTAGGAATGTAGCTGAGTGTAATGGATATTCTCCTTCACTAGTTGATAAATTAATTAGAAAACGTAGGTATAGGTTAATGATTTCTGAAAATTCGACTTTTCAAGTGGAGAAAGACACGTCTAAATATTTTTCGATGCCGTTTGATAGAGAGTTATCCCGTGGTCTAAAAGGAATTTTGAAGAATGTAAATTATAAACTTGTGTATAGTGCTAATAATAAATTACAACAATTATTAGGTAATCCAAAGGATAAAACACCTCCACTGGAAAGGTCGGGTATTTATGAAATTTCTTGTAAAGATTGTAATCAGAAATATGTTGGGCAAACTAGAAAATCAATATTAACTAGATTTAAAGAACATTTAGCTCAGATAAGATATGGTAAACCGGATAAATCTTGCGTTGCCGAACATATTGTTCATAAAGAACATTGTATAGATCTTAATAATTTAAAATTAATTAAACAAGTCTCAAATTACAGGCAATTAGATGCATATGAAAGCATCAGAATTAATAAATGTAAAGATAGTATGAACAGAGACAACGGTCCAATTCCTTCAAGTTCTTTTTCCTACTACTCTAGTGGCGGAAATCTAACTGTTACGCTCAGTTGGCTCTGACTCGGTTGGCTAGTTTTTGCCACGCCCACTCGGTGCCCACTGGGCGAGTATATAAACGCTCAACCTGTAGATTGTACTTTAGTTTATAATCATCTGCTGATGATGCTAACATGGTTAGCGAAACGCGCGTCCAGTGTAAAAGTAAAAGTGTTTTGGTGTATTGTGGTGATTTAGTGTTTTTATTTTGCTGTTTAACACCAAAGGTTCCAACCCTCAACTGTAATATTTGTATCTATTAATACAATTATTGTGTGTGTATATAGCCTGTATAATATATGTACATAATTTTTTTGATTTCTGTTTTTGTTTGTAGGTTGTTGATGGTAAAGACGAACTATTACCTTATATAGATCCGTTAACTAAAATACTAGACAAAACTTTACATATGACATGTCTGCAGGCTAACCAGCTATCTGCAAGAATTCTTGAACTAATTTTAGCTTCTTTAACAAACATCTCAACTAGAGATTCCAGAAGTTCAGATCAAGACTATGGTACTCCTGTGAAGGATTTCTTACCCATAAGGTCTTAACTAAAACTATATTTACTTATTTATATTTTTTTTATACTGTTACAGGGAGTGGGGTAAAGCTCAAAGTATCGAAGACTTAAAAATAAGTTGGTACGTTCCTAAAGAAAAAGAAATTGAGGCTGTTCAGCTGTTGGTTAATAAATATTTGATACCAGAACTGGAAACCTTAAACCAGTTTGCTTCTGGAGATTTAAAAATATCGCGACAGGAACTCAAGTGTACTTTAAAGATTATCATTTCTATTCTTTCCTGTCATTTATTGCTTCCTATCTGGGAAGAACCGGCCTATAAACTGTATGTTATCTGACGATTACCTATTTGTTTTATTAATTTGATTTTTTCCTCAGAGTGGACTCAGTTTTGGATCCTTGGGCGTTTAACTTAATAGTTATAGAAAATGGAACGGTTAATATGCCGGACGGTAGCAACATTCGGAAAGGTATTGTAAATACTTTACACAGAGCACAGAGGAAGTTGCTAGAATTAGATGAAGGAGACACAAAAAGTATTCAAAATATTATCCATGTAAATATATTTTCTACTTTGATCTATTTAATATTCAGCTTTCCTGTAAAAAATATTTAGATATACAATATAGTTCTCTTCAACAAATCGAGAAATCAAGACTTTGAGCTTCATTGGAAGTCATTTCACGTGGCCAAAAAGATTCTGGAAGACCGTCTTCATAAGAAGAAACAACACTTGAGACATATGCATTTGGAGAGGGTGATGATTCAGCAAGAGCTGCGAATAGAGTGTAGGAATTGTTCGTTTACTCTCACTCACAAGCAGATTCTTGAAGATCTTTTGGAACTGGCAGTATCAAGATATAGTGAAGTAAGTATAGGAACACTGTGTGATCAATATATTTATTAAACTTATGTCGATTCTGTCAATACACGCTATCGATAATTTACTGATCATACTTACAAATACCAATCTTAAAAATATGGTTTTTAAATTGTTCTCAGTAGTATTACTGTCTCAAATTTTCCGATTTCTCTTATTAAGAAATTTTTCCATTATTGATTGAAGTATTTTCGGGTTAGGCCAATACCTTCTAGGAAACAGGCCTGACGGCTTACTCGTCATCATTGGTACACAAAGTCTCTAGTTTGTCTTACTTCCTTTTACAACTCAAGGAGTATTTGTATCAACTTTGGGAATAGTTTGAGCATTATAAATATTATATTTTGGGAAAAATCAATTAGTATTAAGTCGGTACAAGTTGATCAACAACTGTAGTTTACACTACATTATCACAGTACATCTGTCCTTTTTGTAGGTACAGGCATCCGTAAGGGAGGAAATCAAATTTTCCGTTAGCCGGCAATTCATGGGCGTGTTATAAATATTTTAGATAACATTATACTTATACAAAAATTTAAAAAATACTCAATCATTTGTATTTTTTCAATGTTTTCCCATGTAAATGACACATAATCTTTATAAAAATTAGAAGAAAAACAAAAAATCAGTACAATCACGGAACTATTTTACCGACGATTGCACTGTTCTCCCAGCTCGGTCTGCTACCGTTTAAGCTTGATTTTCATGCATCCGTTGTCCGACTATACGTTGATACGATATTAATTTTATTGGCTGAATTTAAATACTTTGATTGGTTAGAAACGGTTAACCAATCGAAGCCTTTAAAATCAACCAATAAAATTAATATCGTATCATCGTATCGTCAGACAACGGATGCACGAAAATCAAACTTTAATCGATATTTCTCGTAAAAAATTAGACGACGCGTTCCTTCAATAAAAATTTGACAAATTTGGAAGTAGCCAATTAAATGAGTTTTGCGGTGACATACTCGTCAAGTCCACGTGGACTCTGCCGTTTGTATATAGGTAGCGATTTATAAAATATATTGCTGTTTATTTAAATGTGTTTTGTAGTAAATTGATTATACTCAAATATTGTGCCCGCATTCTTGAAATTCCTTTCTTTACATGATCTATTATTTAACTAAACTTAAAAACCAGTTTTTTTATTTTAGATTAGAATTTCAGCCCAATCCAAACTGTTTGGAATGATCCAGTACTTCCCTTATTCTTTTACTTTGTTAACTGATAAAATCAAGGAAATACTAAAAATGGATTCAGTGGAGAATCACGAAAAATTCAAAGGATGTCTCTATATTCTCTTAGGCCCTAAAAACTCACCCATAGTTGCCAGACATGATTGGGACTTTATCAAAGAGATATGGCCGCTAATTGTGAAGTCAATGCCTTCAGAAAAACCTTCTATAGTAAATCTGATAGCGGCCTTGTCAGACTCTGTGCAGAAATATTTTCCTACCATAGCTATAAAGCTTACTATACCTGAAAGAACACTGAGGTCAGCTTATGATTTGGCTAACACCAAGCCGTTTGTTTGCAATTTAGTCGAATTTCAGAAGTTTATTGATAATGGGGAGAATTACTTAAAAGAAAAATCGCTCCAAAGACGAGAGGCATACAACCATACAATGTCATCATTGTTAGAGGCATGTGAAAATGGAAATTTGTAAGTATTTTATAGAATTTTCGCTGTAAATCTTATCTGTTTTTTATAGAATTTATAAAATTTTCTATAGTTATTATATGCTGAATCTTTTTTTTCTAGACACTGGAGATACAACTCTATGGCAATAAGCTTTATAAAGAATTTGGTCCATTTCGACGTAAACTACGACCCAAAAGTCGTCAGATTCTTCCTGAAGGCCACCATAAACGAATCGTTGCACATTAGGAAGAACGCCATCAAGGTGCTGGTCTATATAACCATCCAGAACAAATCAAAATTCAAAAAAGTCGAAATCGACACGTACCAGATGTTAAATTGCCAACCTAACGACAGAATGGTACCTGGAGAACGACCAGATAATCAGTGGTTGATGTACAACAGGGAGAAAATACCAAAAACTAACGAAGAATGGGAGAAATTGAAGTTCATGCACAATCAAAGTGTTGGTTATTATACCTGGCCCAAAAAGTTGACGTTTTATGCTCCACCATCTGAGCAAAAAACTGCGGTTTCGGGGCAAGTTGACATGACCGAGACGCAGAAAGAAATATTCAACTTTTTTAGGAATGAAGACAATATTTCACAGTTGATCAGATATCTTTCTTTGGAAGAAAAGAAAGGCCAGGATAAATTCAACGCCTTTAGATTTCTTGCATTCAAGGTATTTTTAGTTTTTGTACTATATAGTCTGTCTACTGCGTGGATATATGGTATTGACAGAGGACATTAAAAAATAACCGAAAAATCTACTTTTGTATTGAAATGACAGGGAACATTGTCACTATCATATATTCCGTCGCCGGAGATACTATCCCCCTCTTTTATATACAGTATGTCTCCAGCTTGTCTTTATAAAAGGAAAAACTTTTTTATTATTGACATTTTGAGAAAAATTCATTCTTCATAAAAAATTTTGCTTGTTCTAAAATTGTTTGTACCTTTCCAAATTTCCGTACCGTTTTAGAGAAAATTAAAAAAATTATCTAAACATGGTTGAATTTTTCAGTCCTGAAAATCCAAAGCCCTTTCTATGGTAATATAATTGCGATTTCATTCTTTGATAGATGGTGTGATGGTTATTGTTAATTTTGATTAACGTCATATATTTTGCCGTTATTAAAGTATCATATTTTCCGATAACTATTATAATCCTTTCCGTAGCATTGAATTAAATAAATTTTGTGCTTCTTTAACATTTTATAACAGCAAAAAATATGACGTTAACAGACGTTAATTAAAATTCTATCAATAACAATCTACCCATAATCTACCAAAGAATGAGAACGAAAGTATATTACCATAGAAACGCGTTTTGATTTTTAGGACCTAGAAAAATTAAACTATTTTATATTTTCATGATTTTTTTAAAACAGTATGGAAATTTCGAAAAGTATAAACGGGATTAAATCATTTTAGAAAAAGCAAAAAATTTTATGAATAATGTATTTTTCTCAAAATATCAATAAAAGTTTTTTTCTCTTGTAAAGACAATCCGAGGACATACTGTAGGTCTATAGTATTTAGTACATATATACTTATAGTATTTACTGTTACGGATACCGTCGGTCTTTATATTAAACATAGCAAAATAAAACACTAAATCACCACAATACACCAAAACACTTTTACTTTTACAAAACTTGCGTAAAAGTAAAAGTGTTTTGGTGTATTGTGGTGATTTAGTGTTTTATTTTGCTGTGTAACACCAAAGGTTCCAACCCCCAACTGTAATAATTAAACATACTTTACTAAATTACACAATTAAGTAATTTATTAAACCACTAGAGAGAAGGATAAGGATATCTTCTGAAATTGAGGATAAAATTCGGGTTGCATAACGATTCGTTCTCGATCTAAAAGAATCGATTCTATAAAAAATCGGTTTTGGATTAATCGATTCAAAAAATCGGGAATCGCATGTCAAAAGATTGATTTTCTGAAGAATCGATTTAAATCGAACATCCATACTAAGCATCCTTTGGATGTTATCATGTATAATTTTTCATTAATTTCTATACCCAAAGGATGACGGGGTAATGGACCAAACCACTAATAACTCCCAATACACTACTCATTTACACCACAAAAATCATAATAACTAACTGTTAATTTCCAATCGATTTCTTACAACTTTTTATTAAAAAAAACTTTTTATTTAAAAAATTGACTTGTCCCGCCTTGAGCGTATTCATATTGTATATTGTATACCCAAAGATGGTATTCCAGTAAAATCTATAACATACTAGAAATGTTTGGCCATTTTTATTTTCGTCTAAAGGTCCGCGCCCACTTAAGGTGAATGTGCACTGAATCGACTTCGCCCGGTCCACACAATAAAGAGCTATCGACAGTTTTTTCTTTACATGGAAATAAATGTAACTCGGCGTACTGAATCGGCACAGACCAGCAACGGCGGCTGCGACCATCGTAGATAAAGACGGCGTCCGCTCTAAATATTTCGGCCTGTAGACGCCAGACTCCTATACCGTCTATACCGGGTGGGTCTTAAATACGTGCAAATATTTTCGGGGCTGATAGTTCTCGATAAAAAAAAAACATATTTTCTCTTTTCCGGGTTTTCTTTCTTGTCAATTTAATCTACTACCTATGTTGCCATATTATGAAGATATTATGTTTTTTAACTAAAAATCACTGACCTTATCGTAACATTATAATGCTTCTATGATCTGTTCCAGAATATATTTAAAACTTTTGAAGACGAATTCCTGCCCATATTTCTTCCCCACATTGAGCGACTGGCCAAAGACAAGCACGAATCTAGCCAAATATGCGCTGCCGAACTCGTAACTGCCATCATCCGTGGGTCCAAACACTGGCCCTTCGAAAAAGTGAACAAGATGTGGCAGCAGATCTTGCCCATACTGGACAGCGCCATCCTCAACATGAGCAACGAGACTTTAGTGGACTGGGTTCTCTGTATTACCATGAGCACCGAAACCAGAGATCCCACCATGGTCCACTGGCTTCTAGAATTTTTGACAGATGATCCTTTGAAAGACCCCACCTCCTTTGTCGCTTGTAATCGGCTTCATTTGCTTTGCGTAGCTATTAGTCAGCAATCCTGGAGGAACGCCCCTATTTACAATAGAATGATGGAATATTTCAGACCACACTTGACACATCCGTACCAGAATATTAGAGACAAAATTAGTTTGTTTTTGTCGGTGGTTTATGGCAAAGATTTAGTGTTTCCTGGCGGTGCTCCCACTCAGGGACCCAGAATAGAAGATCTATTTAAAGAGGTAGCTCCAAAATTGGAGCTTTTGTATGATTATCTTTTAAAGAAAAGTGATAATGACGCTCTGAAAATGGCAACCGACGAAAATAGCTGTGATAAATCAAGCGAGTGTGATTTGACTTTGGAGAAAAATAGGGAAGATGTTATGAGATTATTTAAAATAGGTAAGTTGATACTTTTCGTGATAATTAAATTTACAACATTTGCCCACAATTGTTGAGAAAATAATGGATTATAATAATTATATTTAATATTATATATAATTTGCAAATATTTCATTGATCTATATTTTTGTATTGTTAAATATTGCCTAGAACAGTATTAGCATACACTATGTCAAATGTTTAAGTTAGGAAAAAATATGTAAGCAGAACAGCAACGTAAGAAATTGTTTAATTCAACTTCAATGTGTCTTTATACTTAGATTGATCTATGGAGCTTTTGTCTAACATACTTATTAATTTACTCTCACGGCCTTTTTATTTATATCTATAATCTTATTTACAATGTCTATTTTTAGTATCCAAATTCATTATCGGTAGCGTCAACAGAGTGAATTTCAGTCCAAGGCCTGAATTCTTAAAGCTCATACCCTTAGCGGCCGTACTGCACAACTACGATAAGGACGAGGAAATCCCCATTCTGGCTGTGAACCTTCTGGTGGTATTGGCGCAAAGTCCTACCTCTGAAAAACACATTCCATACGCCATAGAAGCCGTTAGCGAGGTTGTTAGGTGTCCACTATGGTCTGCTAGAAGCGCGATTTCAGAGGTGTTGCCAGTTTTAATTTTTTATAACATGGCAACGATAAATAGTAACAAGCAGTGGGTTTTACAGGTAAGTGAGACATGATACTAAACCCGCAGTATAATTTTGAAATTTGATTTTTCATTTTCATTTCCGTGTATATTTCTTCAGTAACTATTCTATAATTTTATACATAGGGTTTTCATAAAAGCTTATGTAAATTCTGGACAAGTGAACTCAGAAATCCAGACAAAATCCGGACAAATGAACTCTGAAATCTGGACATCGCAAAAAACTATAAATTTATTTATGCAGTTTTAGCAAGCAAATAATAATAGCCCCGTAATAAACAAAATATAAAACAAAAAAACATTCACTTTCCAGGAGTGCACCAACGAAAAGTTATTTATTAACCCTACTTATTTATACCCGCGGAGTGTATTTCACAATAAATATTTGCCGCTTTCTACTTCTTTTTTATATTAAATGTTCTATATACTACATATATTTCATTTTTTCAGATACAAGATTTAGTTTTACAACTTCTAGAAGATTCACAGCCTGAAGTGCGGGTTGAAGCAGCCAAAGTTGTTAGTGGATTATTACACTGCCAATTTATACCAGCACCAACTGACTTATTGGTATTATTTCAGCATTATTAATGAATATTGTATGATTGAACTAACGAATTTTCAGAATATATTCATGCAAAAAGCGAGAACGAAGGTCAAGAAGGTCAAAACGACTGAAAATATTAATAAAAATCTTATTATCAGGCACGCAGGCGTACTTGGCTTATGTTCATTTATTAACGCCCATCCTTACAATGTACCTGATTACTTACCCAGCGTGTTTGAGGCTTTGGGGTATAATTTAAGCGATCCACAACCAATACCGGTAAAAGCTATTTTTTTAAATATATGTAGGTATATAAATTTTCATACAAATTAATCGTTAGGCTACAATAAGAAAAACCATGGGTGACTTCAAGAGAACGCATCATGACAATTGGGAAATGCACAAACTAAAGTTTACTGAAGAGGAATTATCTATTTTAAGTGATCTCTCGGTTCCACCTAGTTATTATGTTTAAGTTTATATTTTAATCTTTTATTAAAGCGACTGCACTCAAATTTTTAGAAAAATAAGTAATCTTACTTTTCTATATTCTTGGGTGAACAATCTACGGTGCAAGATTCTTATATTTGTTTCGTATTGTTTTATTTATTTGTTTAATTTTTATTTTATATAGTATTAGTTTTAAAATGAGTGACGGATTAAAAAAAATAATAATAAATATATTATTTTTACATTAGTAAATGGCGTTTTCTTTTGATGTTTAAGGTTGTAAAAAATACAGTTTAAAGATAAAATTTATTTAGGAATTAAGCTCTGCCAAAAGAGACAAACATTTATCTTTGAGAATAGTGACAGCTTCTTTGAATATAACTTCAGGTTGCATAGCTCCAACAGATTCAATTGTAACTGAAAAAATATCAAGAAAAACAAAATATTTCTAATTCATTACCTTCTGAATAAGTGCCTTTTGTTCCCTCAATTGAAGATATTTATTTATAACCCCACTTTGGGTCAATTAACGTTTTCTAAATTTCAGTATAGTTTACTACTTACATATAAAGTGATCCTGAATTTTAGACATAACTACCGAGTCTTTCAAGTCATCATATTTAAAAACATTTCTACTGCTTGTATCATATCTTGAATCCTTTACAACTGCAATTTTCTTGTTATTTTGTGTCCTTATAGTAATAACACTTGGTGAGAAACACTTCTGTAATCTATATGCTGCTTCATCTTCTACTGGTTTTACAATTTTAATATCTGGTAATAGGCGATAGAAAGCTGTTGCTAAAATTTAAAAAAATTAGTATATAATGATATATTTCTATTTTTCTATACCTACCTACTGGTGAAAATTTTGCATGGTCCCTTCCATTGCTTTTAACAGCAACAAGCTTGAGATCTAGTTCATGTCCAGGTCTCATCTTAGCTATCAAAATATCTGGATGAATAGGACCAACATCACTTTCTTTGAATTTACTTTTTTGATTCCCTGTGGGTATCCACTTTATATGTTTGGAATATACTGAAAAATACAGTATTAAATATTTATATATTTTTATTCATAATATACTTTGCTAATATTCGCATATTTTTAATTTATGTGAATATTTTACTAATATTAACATTCAAAAAAATAAATAAAATGTAAATAACATTGGGTAAATGGAAATAAATATGAATTTCTTATAATTTTTAAGTTGGCATAGTCTTACAATTCTATCATTTGTAATTATATCAGAGACATATCTGATTACATTAATTATTGTAACCCACATTTACTTAATATTTGGTGTTGCTGAGGTATTATAATCAACTTGGCTTTAGAGACTACTAAGCAAAAAAATGTGTATGTTCTTTTATTAAATTTTTATCAGAGTAGTTGTCTTGTTTATGAAATGAAAAGTACCTTACAAAAAATATCTTCTGATAAGCATATTTTTGAGAAAAAAAAAATTAACAAACCATCATCCAACGTATTCTTATTTTAAATAAAATCGATTTTTAATCTGAAAAAATAGTAATCTTTTATAACTAAACATACTAATAAACAATTTGACAGCTAAACTTTTTTAGAAAAAGTTTTTCTTTAAAACATCCACAATCTAGTATAAATTTTTTAACAACAAATTAAATTAGCATTCACGAATGTTTAAAAATTCATATTCGTTCTTATTTATACCCTTATATATGTATTTAAACAAAGCCAATACCTACCATTGGTATTTTTATAAATATCTTCTGCTCTAGAAGATTCCTTCTTGCTAGAGTCTTTATTATTAGAACACTTAATTTTCAATTCAAATTCTAAAGTATCCTTCTCATTTGCAGCTGCTGACCCTATAATTATACCTTAGATTAAAAATATTCTAAAACTAAAAAATTGAAAGGCAATACTTCATACAATTTGATTTATATTCAAATAATCTTGGATCAGCCTTGAGGGGTATAAGTCCTAAACGATGTGCTAAAATTTCATCTTGAATTATAGATGTGTTATTTAAAATATGAACTTTCTCAATTGCCATGCTAGGAACATCGCTAAGGATCAATCTTCGAAAAGTATTTGCTAGAAATGGATGAAGTCCAATCAAATCAAATTCCATTTCGTAGTTTTCATGACGAACTATAACAACTCTAAATATCTTTCTAAACTTTTTGATATCGAATTTATCGTCGAGTACTGTGGGGCTTGTTGAATTATTCTAGAATCAGTCAATCCTTATGTGAAATAAATATAAACGAGGGAAATAAAGTACTTACATTTACAATTTTATGTTCGTTCAGAATAATACGATGTTTCTCATCATGAAGAGTATCCATTATTTACCTGTTTAGTTGCAACAAGGGTTGCAAGAAAAGATGTCTTGTTTTACTTCGAGACGATACCACGACGATACAATCAAGATACAATCACAGTCTGGAATGTCTGGAGCACAAAACACATATACATAGTCTGGAAATCTGGTCTGGACAAAGGGAAGTCTGGAATAAAAAAGTATGGTTAACTTGTTATTTTACAAAATTTCTTCTCTTAATTTTAGCGGATTTAAGCTTAAATCATATATAAAATATATATGATGTTCCGTCATCTTAATTTTTTGCCTTCTTGTTCTTCTTTTGCCCGCATCCAGGCAGAGTAACACCGACGAAGATATTTATAATCTGTGGAAATGTTATTCAAGTTTTTGCTTTTTTTTCTGTCATTTGTCATAAATTAAAATTCCGATTGATTCTTGATTCGGTTTGGAGGTTATGTTTGGCTTGCATTTATGTGTTTGTTATTAACAATTTTACAAATATTTAATAAAAATGGACGTTAAAAAAGAATCCAATAAAGGAGACGAAGATGGAATAGAAATTATACAATTGGATATTGAAAACGACGATAAAATTAAAACTGAAACTCCAAAAACAGCTAAAGACCTTTTCTCAGATTTTAAGCCTGATTCAGGCAGCGATTTGGAGCACAACGACGAGGATGATACCGATGATGATGAAGATGATGATGAACCTCTAGCTAAGAGAATTAAAAAGGAAAATCCTGGTAAAACTGGAAAAAAGAGAAGAGACTCGAAGTCTAATGGTACCCCAAATAATAAGAAGGTATTTTAGTGAATATTCTGAGTTTTTACATTTTTGTTAAGTAATTGTTCTTGCTTACAGTACTTGCAGAAGTATAAGAAAGAATGGGAAGATATACCTTCAGTGAAGCCTTGGTTGTCTGAGAGTGTACATGGTGAAACCTACTTCTATTGTAAATTTTGTAAAAAAGACTATAAGTGTGGGAAATCTGAAGTATTTAAACATATGTCTTCTATGAAGCACAAAAGAAATACGACGCAGCCACCCTCTGAAAAAGTTATAAAAAAGGTGGGGAGTAATGTAAGATCATATTATGGAAATTTGTGTTGTGCTATAATTTTAATTTTTATTAATTTATTACTTATATTTTCAGCAAATGATGAAGTTTAGGGGTTTGCTATGCCCAGTAGTTACACCATTCGTTAAAGCTAGGACTAAAGATGTATGTTACGATTTGATTAAACCATATGTTAAATTTTTAAAAGCCTGTGGTGTAAAAGGCGTTCTAGGTAATCTAATTTCAAGCTGAATATTATACCATAGCATAATAAATTTCATTTTAGTAAATGATGTTTTGGGAGAAGGCATGTCTCTAACTATTAGTGAAAGAAAAAAAGTTTTGGAGTATTGGTGTAATTATTGTAAAGAATATGGTATATTTGTAATGGTCCAAATTGGTGGAGCTCCATTGAGAAGTGTTATTGAGTTGGTGAGTCGTTAACCAAATAAAAGTTATAATAAAATAATATACAATTTTTTAGGCAATGCATGCTGAGAAAACCGGTGTTGGAGCAGTTGTGCTTTTACCAGATCTGTACCACAGGCCACAAACCCATTTAGATTTAATTCGTTATATTAAAACAGTTTCCCATAATACTGGTTCAATGCCAGTGCTCTATCATCATTATCCTAAATATACAAATTTAAATAGTAAGTACCTATAAAATAGTTACACTGTAACGAGAGTTTGGTCTTTATAGTTGTTTAATGTTTTAGTTGACATGAAAAAATTCTTGTTGGATATAACAGGGGAGGTTGACACATTTGTAGGACTAATATATACAACAGGAGATTTACAAGAAACTGTATCTGTCATGGAATTAAATCCAGAGAAATTTATTGTCTTTATGGGAACAGATGAAGTAGATCATTTCATAAAAACATAATAATGTTTTATTTAAAACATTTTTTTCCAGGGTATGTTAGGAGCTGTTGCAAGTGGCTTCACTTGCGTTATGGGTAACAGCTTAAATATTTTACCTAAGCTTGCTGAGTCAATATGTTCATGTATGGAAAACGGCGAAATAAAGAGTGCACAGGCATCACAGACACTACTCACAAAAGCTATTACAAATATTTATAACCATGGTTAGTTTTTAATGTTCTAATAAAGTATTTAGTACACCCTTGGACATAACAGCCTAGTTAAAATGCTGCGTTTTAAGGGTGAACTTTAATACTTTAATACTTAGCCTCAAAATACAAATACAATGTATTTAGTAAATAAATATTTTTATTTTTAGGAGAAATGGTTCCAACATTAAAAGCCGCTATGAGCATTATTACAAAATTACCCATGGACACAGTAAGGGATCCATTACAAACGCTCTGGGATGGAACTGTGTCTAAAATGAGAGAAAAATTAAGAGAAATCGGTATTATATAAGAATTGTAGCCTAGAATACTGTGTATTTAAATATCAAGAATCTACATTCAAATGTAATTTTATAAACCTAAACAACTTTTTTGGAACACCTACAAACAAATTTTTATATTTTAAGTATTAGCTTGTAAGGGATGTTCAAAAAGGAAATGAGTTGTTGTTTTGATCAATTTTTTCCTTAAAATATCTGAAAATATCACTGAAGTTCAGTGTAATTGTGATTAAATGTCATAAAAAATACTTTTTTTACATATAAAGAAACTTAATATAATTTTAAATGTAATAGTTGTTCTATTTATTTTCAAAGATGACAGGCATATTTTTAAATAATTTAAAGACAGTAACCAGCAGCATTTGGAGGTTGAGCAGGTATTCCGCGCCTGTTCATGCGACAAACATGTTCTTCTAATCGTTGTGCAGTTAATGTATAATCGAAACCATCAGACACATCAACGTAAGCTGACCACAGTTTCTCTGCTGGTGCTGATGCTCTTGGCCAAATTCTTTGGACAACGTTGTATTCGTTAACGACTTCGGTCCACATACAAGCTTCCCCTAAAATTTAAAATTTTCAAATTTCTATTTATGTAACACACAATACACAAATATGTTAACATCTGTATTATCTACGAGCTACGAGTATGATATACGCAATATAGCTAGGGTTGCCAGATTGATTTAGTTAAATTCCGAGGGGGGCAAAAAAATGCGAGACCAAAAAAAATGACGCTTAAAAAAAATACGCACCAGAACCTCCTTCCTATTCCACATTTGCTAGAATAGCGTTTGGAAACTAAATTAGAACTCTACATTCCATAATTAAAATAAATCATAGTCAACGCATGTTTTATTGACAGAAGCACAAGCAACATAAACGAAGATAGTTAATAATACCACAAATAATACCAAAATATCATAAATCAAGGTAAATAATTAGATATAAACGCTTAAACGCACGAAGCTAATTCGAAAAATTGTGATGGAAAGAAAATGTGTTAAGCATAAATGTGTATTTTTGTACTTTGTGAATTTTATAACGTTTTCCGGGATAGTATAATTCAAGGCTCCGGGACAACTTATTATCCGATATTTTCCCGGAAATTCCGGACGCCCGCCGACCCTAAATTTACAGGGTATTTCAAAAAACGTGCCATCTCCCGTGGGGAGATTCCTCACGTAATCAATCAACGATTCATATCAACGGGTCCGATTCTGCTTTGTTTCGTAGCTACAGGAGGTATTTTTATTTTATATATTCTCTTCCAGGTGCTTTTAGCGATTCAAATGAAATTTGGAGGGTAAAAATTAAACTTGTGTCTAGCCCTAGCGGGCAACTATTAAGCCCGACCAATCACGTTAGAGTTTTTGACAAACACAAATGAATTAACACACTCCAAATAATCACGCTAACCAACCTGATTGGTCAAGCTTAATAGTTGACTGCTAGGACTAGACACTTCTAAAAGTTAATATGAGTGCTACATATTTTAATGCTAAAAAAAGTGTCGACAGATACACCAGGGACGTGCTGGTGGGTTATCACTGGAATATTTTTCTAAAAAAACGTGCGCCAATGACTTTTTTCTTATAAGCAAAGTGTGTAGGCTTGCTTATGTGCTTTTGTATGTATCTTTTGATATTTTTCCCATTTTGATCTCCTCGATGAGATAAACACAGTTTTAGTAATGACAATAAAATAAAAATAAAATTAATAAATTGTTTATTGAATGTAATTTATTAGTAAGTTTTATTAAAATTTATACCACTGATGTAAAGTGGGTCTGCTGGGTTTGTGTCTATGAAAGGAATGCGGACAAAAAACATTTAAATAAACAGCAATATATTTTATACGTTGACTTGACGAGTACGACAACCGCAAATCGCTCCGCCCACTCATTTTATTGGCTACTTGCAAATTTGTCGAATTTTTATTGACGGGACGCGTCCTCTAATTGTACGGGGTGGACCATTTTGGTTGTTTCTATAGGCTATCTAGGAAACCGTAAGAAATATTCAAATTTTGATGCCGCAGTCTCAGGTTCTTTTTTTGAAAAAATCACAATGCCGCAAACGGATCGTGGCTATCTTGATCAGTTTCGAAGCTACAGGGGGATTCTCAAATTTTATACTTTTTGAAAGTGTTCGATAGTTTGTTTATTTCAGCAACTACGCAAAAATGAAATATACTTTCTATGGGCACTTTTCTGTGTAGAATGCAGTGGCGTAGTCAGACTTTTTTCGAAAAAAATATTTTTTTTAGATATTAACTATACTTCTGTTTTTTTAAATAGAACCCCCTGTATATTTTTAAACTTCCTGATTCAGCTTGGCATGGGTTTCTCGAAAATATATAACACTCTATATATATTTTCACTATTAACCTCAACATTTCCAATTTTTCTTAAAATATCCAGTTAGTATAGTAGGCCGCGCCGAGTAACAAAGTAAACGGTTGTCATGTCATGGTGATCGGCACATACCTTTGATAGATGCGTGACATTTCATTTCAACAGGTTGAAGTGTGTGTATTTTAAATAATAAAATATGAGTAAATTTGAAAGTTTTGAGAAATATAATATGTTAGAATGTTATATTGAGTCTAAGAAACATAAGCAAATGGCAGCTGATTTATATTTTGAGCGGTATTTTGAGCGCGAGCAACCAAACCCAGCCATTTTTAAAAGGTCAGAAAATGGTTTAATCCTAGCCACCTCAGTCACCTGATATCACTCTTTTAGACTTCTTTCTCTATGGCTTTCTGAAAAACGGAATTTATCGAAATGCAAATTTATTAGAAGAGTTACAAAATAGTTTTGTTGTGGCTTTGCAAAGTGTAACCAACATACACATTCGAAATGCTGTTAGAGGCGGCGTGCAGAGACGGTGCCAACTCCGTCTAGATAATAATGGGCAGCAGTTTGAACATTTAATGTAGTCTTTGTGTTTTTATTAGCCGACCATACCAATAGGTATGATAGGCTATTAAGATTGGCAAAAAAAAGTTTTATTTAATTTCACTCAAAATGAGTTATTTGGATCATAAATGACCTAAATACAACATATTTTCATGGTGTCTGTCTATAGTCTGTCCGTCTGTAACACGATAACTCAAAAACCGCTGAACCGATTTTAACCAAATTTGGCACAAAAATACTGTGGCACCCGAGAATCTGGCCATTAGTTTTTGGTGGGGGTGGGGGGTTGGTAAGGGGGTATGGGAGGGGGTTAACATTTTTAAAAAATCGTAACTCCAAAATTACAGTAGCTAGCGAAACGCGGTTTCCAAATTAAGATTAAGAATAATATTTCCAACAATATTTGTAATAACTTCAAGATCAGTCAAAGTCGCAGTTTTCGAGATATTAACATATTTTAGTATGGGCGGCTATACGTGCCTCCCGGCGCCAATTTTTTTTTATATTAACTGAGAAGCCCGATTGAAATAACCTGTTGAGTTTGTATTAAAATATGTTCTTTTGTTTCTGTCACACTTATTTTTTATTTGCTTCGTATTTTTCGAATTTATTTAATTGCTAATACATGGATTAATTTGAAAGTAGATATTCGCTTGTTTCCTTTAATACTCGGCATGACCTATCAAGAGGAAAGTCGATATCTTTAAATAAATTGGAATTTTAAGGTTAATAGTGGAAATAAATATATAGTGTTATATATTTTCGAGAAGCCCATGGCAAACTGAATCAGGAAATTTAAAAATATACAGGGGGTTGTATTTAAAAAAACATAAGTATAGTTAATATCTGAAAAAAAAAAATTTTTTTTCGAAAAAAGTCTGACTACGCCACTGCATTCTACACAGAAAAGTGCCTTTAGAATGTTAATTCATTTTTGCCTAGTTGTTGAAATAAACATACTCTCGAACATCTTCAAAAAGTACAAAATTTGAGAATCCCCCTGTAGCTTCGAAACCGATCAAGCTAGCCACGATTCGTTTGCGGCATTGTGATTTTTTTAAAAAAAGAACCCGAGACTACAATATCAAAATTTGAATATTTCTCACGGTTTCCTAGATACCCTATAGAAACAAGCAAAATGGTCCACCCTGTACAGTGCTACATCAAATTCTCCAAGATAATAATGGTTAAGATAATTACAAAAGACCTATATTTTTTAAAGTTTTAACATCTTATTGTAACTTTAAAACTATGCATTTCCGCACTCATATGTTTATAGGAACTTTTTTTATATTTTTTGATTAGTAATCAATGAGTACTTTTTAAAAGAGTAAATTTTGGCAAGTTAATTTAATGTAAGTTTTCAAGGTTGCAATTAGAATTGGGTTAAGACAAATGAATTAAATTGCATTTTTTTCAAAACGCCAACAATAGAACATTCAAAATTTTGCCAGCAAAAGAAAAAAGTCAGTGGAGCACATATTTTTTTTAGAAAAATATTCTAGTGATAACCCATATGCACGTCCGTGGTGAATATGTCGACACTTTTTTAGCATTAAAATATGTCGTACTTATAGTAAATTTTACCCCCAAAATTTCATTCGAATCGCTAAAACCACTTGGAAGAAAATTATAATAAATCGAAACAAAACTTTAACTCCTTGTAGCTACGAAATCTTATTTTTGCGAGAGAAATCTCCCCACGAGAGATGGCACATGTTTTTGGAAACCACCCATAGTATGCAATCAACACCATGCATCGTCCTAATACATGGTCGTAATCTTAGGTTTGAATCGTAATCGTCGCGCGTCGTAACAAATGACAAAATAATTTAGTTTCAAAACACCATATCAGAACATTTTTGGTTTATGTAGATTATTTTGATTTTAAATAACAGCTTTTTGTCACTATAGATCTTTAAAAACAAAATTAATGGCCGCGGCCCCACAGAGAGCGATTTTGCGTGAAAAGCGTTTAAGCGTCTTTTGCGACTATAAACAAAAGTAACAGGATTATATGAGTCTTATATGAGTGACTCGGTGAAAAACGTATAGCGTTTAGCGTTTTTTAATATAATATAACCATAGAGTTAAATATACCTGACTGTTTTTAAAAATATAAACGTTAACTGTTTAAACATTTTACACGCAAAATCGCTCTACTCGCTTTCTGTGTAGCCGTCGGATTATATTAGTTTCCTCTTGTTCTCGATCTTATGTCAACTATGCGTAAAGCTGAAATTAATCATCCATAAATTGAGGAAAGTTTATTAGGACTGAGTGTAATATTAGTTGCATACTGTCTCACGACATCACAAATGAGTAAAGTCTGTCCATCGAGTCAGGGAAGATTTTGACAAACGACGTAAAAATAGACAGAAAATAGCTACCATTTACCTGTGAGTTAAAATAACTGTCATGGATCCTATTGATAGACAGATTATACCATTTTTAAGTGATTTTATTACTTGACTTGGATCTTAAATCTTGTAACAAAATTTCCGTTATAATTAAAAATTAAAAAAAAAGCTCTCCTTCACAGGAAACGAATTAAGTGTGCTTATTTAAAACACTGTCGATTCTTTATATAGTATGTTCAACGAGAAGATACACGGCAGTGACAGTTGTATTTTGATGCACACATAAACCAAACCAAACGTATTTGGGTAAAATGCATTTTCTGTCATTTTTTAGAAACTATTGGTAGTCTGGCGAAATTCGAAATCTTCCCAGAAGGTGAATTCAGACCATCGCAGGAAAAGCAGAACGGCAGATCGGCGTATCTTTAGCAATTTTATTGTATTAGGTAAAATTTTTCGAAAATGTATCTGTCAAAAATTTCAGCCAATAAAACTTCTGGAAATTGATACACCGATCCGTGGTTCTGGCCTTTCCTACGATGCTGTGGTTTCACATGGGTTTCACCCTGACCAGAGACATCTGCTCTGACTACAGACACAGCACATAAAACTAAAGTTCAGTTTTCTACGCAAAAACAATCTTTCCGATGAAATAAGAGTATAAGACAGTCACATTTGTCTGAAAATTGAATTGAAAAGTTTTGTTATGATATGTTCGATGTAGTCTGTTGACATATACGTATATTCTCTTACTGGATAAATTAAAATTCGTTGGTAATAGTACGGATCACATACCTCCAAGTACGAGATTTTGTTCTTCTTCATTACCACCAAAATTCGTTGGATCACATTCATAAAATCCTTGCCAATCTCCTCCAGTTTGAAGATGGTCTAAATACCAACAGGCTGATAGTAGAGCTGGTTTATTAGATTCCGTTACCTATTTTATATATATAAAAATAATTAATAAAAATATAATATATCATTACGAACTAACGCTTTTCATTGTTTCGACCCACTTGAAGTTCCCATAATCTCTCCAAACATGTACGATAGTATCGTTGGGCAAAGTTACTCCGTTTACAAATACTTCTTCCCAAACAATTGAATTGAACTTCAAAGAATTCGCTGAATTGATTATTTTTTGAATATAATAGCTTTCCAAGTCTTCATATGTACTTATGTTATTAGATGCCATATACTTAACTATATCTTCATTATTTTCCCTAAAACACATCTTTTCAATAATTGTAGGTACTTTAAGATTATCAATCTTGTATTTTTTACCAGCACTCAAAACCAACTTCATCACCACCAAGATGGATGTAAGCGTCCTTAAATACACCCCTCACCTCGGATAATAGATCGTTTAGAAAAGTGTAAGTCTCTGTTTTCGTAGGGTCCAGAGGTCCCAAAGCTCCAGATTGTACAGCAGAACAATCTGTTAAAATTTCTGGATGTGAAGCACCCCATGATCTAGTGTGTCCTGTTAATGATAATGTTGTTTTTACGGATAAAGAATTAAAAGTTGCATTTATATGGAAGCTTACCAGGTGTATCAATTTCTGGCATTACTCTGATACCTCTTTGTCTGGCATATTCGATAACGGCCTGCACATCAGTGGTATTGTAGACATAAAGTTCTGGATCATAAGCACCATATTGGCTGTAAAAATTTTATAGTTGCTTAAAATAATAGGTTACCTATTATATTATTACATTATTATCACTGTTATATTTTTTCGTCGAATAGATTATATATAGATACCTACCTAAGTTCTGGAAATTTTTGGCTGACAAAAGGAAAGCTCTGATCATCAACCAAATGCCAGTGAAAGACGTTCATTTTATTGTATTCGAGTGCATCTATAATTTGATAGATTTGTTTCAAAGGAATAAAATGTCTAGAGGTGTCTAGAAGCAATCCTCTATGCTTGTATCTAGGATAATCATATATATCCGTGCTGTTAAGACGAATCTACAAGAAAAACACCATTAAATCTATCTTTCCATTCCAATTTTAAAACATTTTGAAGTTTTACCCTTACAGTATATCCATCGGATCCTAAATAAAGTAACTGTGAAAATGACTCTAGACCTCTTAAAATACCCCATATAGAGGATGATGCGAGTTGGACAGCTGATAGAGTAACATTTAATATGTCTAAAAAATAATAACTAATAATTTTTTTAATATTTCAATGTTTTTTGAAGTGAACTTCTTTACGCGCGATGGGAGTAAACATTGAAGGTCGTGACACACGAGACGCGAATGTCACGATAATAATTTATAATCTATGTGGGTCGATTTCGGCTTAATTGGGGACGGGCTACATGATGACGCTCTCATTTTTTCGAACCGATGCCCCTAAATAGACGAAATCATCAGGATTTTCCTTAATTATGGGTCGATTGGAACCAAACTAGGTAAGTGGATAGAGGTACTAGAATGGAGTGCATATACGGACAGACAGGCAGGCGGACAGACAGACAGACGGAAGTAAGAAGAAATTTCACTTCAAATGCGCACATAGTGCACACACAATTTTTTTTATTTTCTACTACTGTATAATGAATTCATAAATAATAATGAATTGATGATGAAATATTTAATAGATAATACCGTATGGCTATGAAATGACAATCGATGACATTTCCCATATAAATTTACATATAAAATGACAGCGATCTTCATTTCATAGCCATCGCTGAGGCCGTTTTTATTCGATCATACGGTAGTTATGTAGTATTCAATATTGAATATTAGTTTTTGTTACAGTTGGGTGTTACCTTTGTTACCTTTGTTACCTTTGGTCTTACAACAGCAAAATAAAACACTAATTAACCACAATACGTGTTTTACATTTAAATACTGAACGCGCGTTTCGCTAACCATGTTAGCAATTGCTAGCAGATGATTAAAACTGGTAATGTTAACATGGTTAGCAAAACGCACGTAATGTGTTTAAAAAGAAAAGTATTTTGGTGTATGTATTTTGTATTATGATCATAGAAATTACGATGAATTAGTGTTCTATTTTACCAGTTTTTATTATATGTATATATATATATATCTTACTTATTTAAAATTTTGTGAAGTGATTACTCATTGATTTAGGAGAAACATTTTTAAGTCTTCGAAAATTTAAAAGTATTTTTAAGTATTGGGAAATTAATTATATAAATGTTAGCATAATAAATTATAAAATTTTTAATAAGTATACTTTTTTTAATCGCAAGTATTTTTTTATTATTATTGTCCATATCATAATTTGAAATATACTGCATTCAATTTAAGAAAAATCAGATAAAGTCATAGAACGTCAATTATTGATTATTTCAAGTAGGCATTTATATAATATGTTTATATAGACTAATATTTGAATTTTTAAAATATGACGTTATCATCAATTTTGAAATAAAATAGGTATTTGATATGTTTCAAAATTTCTTTGAATAAAATTATCGACAGTAAAATTTATAGTAAAATTACAAAAAATATTAGTACTAAATATGTGCAAAAATATTGTAATTTGTTTACTAACTTTATTATTTATACAACTTTATGTATAACGTACATAAAATTGTATAAATAATAAAGGAAAAAAAAATAAAAATATCTATTTCAAAATGATACCACTTTGTTCATATTATTTTGTATTTTCAACTTACATGTCTCATTAATATCTAAACTAGGGTAGTCATTATCTGAACATTCTCCATTCAAGTTAACTGTTATATTTGTTATCAAACCCAAGTTCGATCCTTCAGTCAAATTCGCCCTAAATGACTTAAGTCGACGAACTGTCGCTTGTGAAATGGTATTTTGTTGAAGTATTTTGAAGTACCTTTCGAAAGCATTTTGTAGAATAAGACAATTTCCACTGTTCTCTGCAAGCTGAATAAATATGAATTGCATAAATATAAATAGCTTGTTTTAGTAATTATAAAATATTAAATACTTAATTTATATACTTACTAAAAATGTAAAATTTTCTGGAGTAATAACAAAATAATCTTCTGATTTCACTTGGTCTTGTGGTTTTGGCCAAATCTCTCCCTTTGTGGCCACATATAACGGCCCCGGATTCACTATATAACAATCAACACACTCGGTAAAAATCAGGGCTACCGCCACACTTATCAAAACCTTCATTATATCGCTTCTGTATTATCACTGCGCTTGATATACACCAATACAAAAAATTTAAAGAAATCAAATACTGTTATCTTCCTGTATATAAGCTATCGATATCATTTTACTAAAGATATATATTTTTTAAATTACTTTCCTAGATACATTTGAATAATTAAAATAAATGAGTATAGTGCTATTTAAATAAATTAAATTTTGTACCTATTTGTTTAAAAAATCGTGGGTCTTCCCCGTTAACGTTTATTTTATAATATACCGGCCATCTTATCTAATGTATTCGTTTGTAGTCTCACAAACTACTGAAAACATCATTTTGATTATATAGCTATAAAATTGGCAATTTGAGGTCAGTTTATTATTATTATTAACTTGGTTTATTATTATTATTATACCGGGGTCGTCCGCTTAATTTAAATATCGGAGGGCAACAAAATTGTTGTACAGCTTGTTAAATGGGGGAGGGGGGGAGGAGGGGGGCAAATAGACGCAACTAAAATTTTGTCTACCCATCAGTCACACGGGTCACGAGCCGCCACTGGAAACAGGAAGTTTTTTATGTTATGTTTTTATGTGGATAAATAAAAAAGTTATAGAGGTGATCATGTCATCAAACTCTTGAAAAACACTTGGTAGGTATAAATTATTTATTTGCGGATTATTATTAATGTTTTATAAATAGTGCTGCTGTTGAATAAAATTTGATGTATAATATAAGCACTTATATTTGACAGTTTAAAAGATATTGGAGAATAAATGAAATATTAATGAACAATGAATAATATTGCATTGTAACTATTTCAAAAAAATCTTATCATTAAAGAGCACTCTACAAAGTAATTTAGGTTATTTTTTTTAAAACTGATCAATCAACGATTGTCTTATTTTATTTACTTATACTTGTAATGCTAATAAGAGTAACAATAAGTGCATTAAATATTTGTATAGGTAGGTATATATCTCTTGTTTATCTTTGTGGTAATTATATAGTCGAAGTCGATTATTTCACTTGTTTAAAAGTGATAATATATTGTTTCCTAATTATAATATACATTTTGGAACAGAATTTTTATTATAAGATTTCTTAAAACAGAGATATTTCTGATTAAAACTGCTCTCTGGTCCGGCAATAGTGCGTCGGGCAGATTCTGTAGCTCCTAGAATAAAAAACTTGGAAATTTTGGTTAAGTGTAAATCTAAAATATGTACAAAGATGTATTTCAGGAAAATATTTTAACTTGTGGTGGCTCAAAAAAGTGTGAGTGGATCCGGATGATTTTTTTTAAAAGGAAGACCCTGTATATTATTGCATTTTTGGCTTACTTTCAGATCACTTTATAATCTGAGATATGAATAAATATATTTCGATAGTTTTTTCGATTTATAGCAAAGTAAGTACAGACCATCAAAAGTAAATATCTAATATGGTTTTGATTTTAGGACAGTTCTTGAATTTTTAATAATTTTTTTAAAAAAGGCTGAAAATATATATTTTTTATTTATTTATTAATATCTCTGAAACTATCGAAATATATACTCATATCTTAGGATTTTGTAAAGTGATCTGAAAAGAAGCCAAAAATGCAATAATATACCGAGTGTTCCATTTAATAAAATTCATCCCGATCGACTCACACTTTTTTGAGCCACCCTATAGAAGTTAAAATATTTTCCTGGAATACATCCTAGAACATACTTTAGATCTGCACTTAAACAAAATTCCCAAGTTTGTTATTCTAGGACCTACAGATGCCCGACGCACTATTGCCGGACCCTGGTAGAATGATCGTATTTTTTGATTATCTCTTGTATTATTAAGATTTTAGTCGCAATATCCGGGACCGTTGGGTGGTTCAGCTCCTATATTACGTCTGTTCATTCTACAAGTGTGTTCTTCTAGTCTTCTAGCTACCTCATCTAAATCGGGATCTTTATTTTTGGCAGACCAAAGCTTCTCAGCTGGGGCTGACGCTCTGGGCCAAACCCTGGATATTAAATTGTGTTCGTTGACAACTTCACCCCACATACAAGCATCACCTATAAAAAATTATCAAATATGTTAGATACACAAATAGACAAATCATATAATAATGCTGATATAATTATTTTTAAGTACGTACATAATAATAGGTTTAAAACAACAACTTTTTTTAAAATAATTTTAAGTAAACATAATTAAGACTGAATATTGTATGTAAAAAGTACACTTTTAATTGCATTATAATTTATTTAAAGTCGTTTTTTATTATACCAAAGATATACTGTATCTAATTTATTTTGTGGAATTTATAAAGCTACCTGTTAGTTATTAAATACACTTACTATATTATCCAACCAGAAAATCACAAATTAGTATTTAATGTGGTCTACGGTACTTCCCTTAGTACTAATATTATTAGCGAGAAGTATATGTAATTAACTACAGAATGACGCAGATTTAACTAAGAAAACCGTCAGTCTTATTTGCGTAATTCATTTTGATTTTTAATAATCACTAATATCAATTCTTTCTCATCGATATTTCCTGAATTCCTAAAATATCTTGAATACTTATTATTATAGTGCAATAATATTGGAAATTCAATCTCAACGAAATACCGTAGGATCGAAAAAAAAACGGCGTTCAGTTGGCTTGAAAATGAACATCCATGACATTCCCCATATAATTTTACATATAAAATGTCGCTGACGCCATTTTTTTCCATATTGTATTTTGATCGAATTTTCAATTCTTTATATTGAAGTTTATACATTATTGAACGCTTTACATCCAAAATTTAAATTGTTGAGTTTTGTTGGCCTCTTCCAGTTATTATGTATTTAAATATAGCTTTATTCAGACAATAAACAAGTTAGTGCATTATAAAAATGTTTAAATAACGAACTAATGGAAACTATTAATGTTTTATTACCTCCTAATACAAGATTCTGTTGGTTTTCTGTCCCATTGAACACGGAGGGATCACAGTTGTAAAAAGATGTCCAATCTCCTCCAGATTGAATGTTATCCAAGTACCAACAGGAAGACAAAAGAGCTTGATATCCTGATTCTGTAACCTACTTAAAAAATATTTGTCTTATTTTAAAATATATTTGTATTGACATTTTTTAGTTTCGAATCAGTTTGCTTTTAAAACGCATGGATAGTTATAAGTATGTAAATTATAACAGAATTATATAGCCTATAGTAGTGAGTAGTAGATTATAATAATACTTCCTACATTTTTTATTGTCTCTTTCCAGTCACCTTTCCAGACTTGAACCACTGTACTTTGTGGTAATTTAACACCATTATGAAATACTTCCTCCCATACAATTGAGTTTAGTTTTAACTTTTCAGTCATATCGACAATTTTCTGCACATAATAACTTTCTAAGGCGAAATAACTAGATATATTGTACTTTTTCATGAACTCAGTAATGTTCTGACTCCCCATCCTGCAGAAAAAAATACCAGCAACTATCTCTAATCATAAATTAGACTAAAAATTATTTCAAACCAGCAAGTAAAGTCAACTTCATCTCCTCCAAGATGCAAAAACTGATCTTTAAATAAGACTTTCACTTCAGCAAGCAAATTGTTCATAAAACTATAAGTTTCGGCCTTTGTTGGATCCAAAGGACCGAAAGTATCAAGTTCCTGGCATTCAGTTAAAAGCTCGGGATGTGATACTCCCCAAGATCTTGTATGACCTTAAACATAATTTTTTATATACAGGGTGTCCCAGGCTAAGAGTACATTAGAAGTTTCTAGAGAACCAGTATATCTAGATCGGAGATTTTTTGCAAATCATAGTTTCACTAGATCCATCGATTAAAAACATTTTCAATATGGCGGCACTTCCGGAAATACCGGAAGTTGACAACAACTTTCTTATTTTAAATGGGTGCCCCCATTTTTTATTACACACTTAAAGTCTCTGTAAAATTCTATGAATACTGATGTTAAACACTCTATATCTAACATTAACCGTTTTTGAGAAAAAAAATATTTAAAATTTTTGGACGAAAAAAACTACCTGTCAAAAAAATTTGTATTGTCAAAAAGTCAAATTTAATGATTACCACAGCCACTGTGACACAAAGAGAAGACTTGTGGCTATCTATTTAAAAAATTAAATTGTTCAAATGTCATATAATGATGGCGGTAGCTGTCATGGAATTGAGCGATTAAAAAATTAACATAAATCATTTTTTTGAAATGGAAACCCACTTTTTTATTTCACTAATGAAACGGTTTTTCAATTCGTTACTTTTTAACTATACATGTTCCTATCCATGTTGCTGTTGGCTACCTCCGCGGCTGTTCTGGACGAAGCCCACAATCCTGGGCGACTCTGGTTCTTGGCTGCAAATTGGGGCTTTAAGCTCCCGTTTGCTCCTTTTATTTTCCATCTTTTATTTTCGTTTCTTCATCAATTTTGTTTTACCATCTCCTGGGTTGCACACGGTGCCTCGTTGCATCGTTTGCTCCCTGGTTTTCTTGCGTTTTGGGATCGGTTTCTTCGCTTCCTGATTCCTTACCGTACTGATGAAGCCTGAAGGCAGTTACATCAGTGTGCACTAGTGTAGGTGTGGTTGTGTGAGTGTGAGTATGCGTGTCTGCACTGGTGTACACTGGTGTATACGGTTACGAGTTGTTGAGGGCTGAGCCGTTTATTCTTTTTTCTCCTTTTTTTACATTTCCCTCACTATTTATTTCTTTTTCATATTGGTACCACGGCTAAGGGTATTGCGGCGGGTTGCTGTTGGCTACCTCCGTGGCTGTTCTGGACGAAGCCCACAATCCTGGGCGATTCTGGTTCTTGGCTGCAAATTGGGGCTTTAGGCTCCCGTTTGCTCCTTTTATTTTCCATCTTTTATTTTCGTTTCTTCATCAATTTTGTTTTACCATCTCCTGGGTTGCACACGGTGCCTCGTTGCATCGTTTGCTTCCTGGTTTTTTTGTGTTTTGGGATCGGTTTCTTCGCTTCCTGATTCCTTACCGTACTGATGAAGCCTGAAGGCAGTTACATCAGTGTGCACTAGTGTAGGTGTGGTTGTGTGAGTGTGAGTATGCGTGTCTGCACTGGTGTACACTGGTGTATACGGTTACGAGTTGTTGAGGGCTGAGCCTTTTAATCTTTTTTCTCCTTTTTTTTACATTTCCCTCACTATTTATTTCTTTTTCATGTTCCTATACCTAAAATAAATCGTTTTTAAGTTATTTAAGATTGAGTTTGAAAACGTATATTTTTCTTGTTTTTATCTAGCTTCCTTTGACATTAAGTGTCAAACGGTCAGACAATTTATTTCCATCTGTCAGAAAAAGAACTATTTGAACTTCCTATAGTATAAATACTGCCTGCTTAAGAGTTTCAAAAGTGTATTTATAAAAAAATATATCTCGTATTTTCGCTCTTTAGTGATATATATAAACAAGGGTGATATCTAACAGTTGATATTATTAATAATATTCCGTATGATCGAAAAAAAAACAGCGCAAAGTTGGCTCGAAAATGATGCTGCTTTTTGAACAAAGCGTCACAATATGACATGGCCAGATCTATTGTTTTGCATCACTTGACGTTTAAAGTCATAGGCTACTGGTTAAAATCAAGAAAAATATACGCTTTAAAACTAAATCTTAAATAACTCAAAAACGATTTATTTTAGGTATAGGAACATGTATAGTTAAAAAGTAACGAATTGAAAAGCCTTTTCACTAGTGAACTGAAAAAAGTGGTTTTCCATTTGAAAAAAATTATTTATGATAATTTTTTAATCGCTTAATTCTATGACAGCTGCGGCCATTATTATATGACATTCGAACAATTTAAGTTTTGAAATAGATAGCCACATGTTTTCTCTTTATGGCACAGTGGCTGTGGTAATCCCTAAATTTGACGTTTAGGCTATTACACATATTTTTGATAGGCAGTTTTTTTAAACATAAGCATATATATGATCAAAGACGGGAGAAGCGGAACAGCAAAGAAACAAAAGTTATCAATGAAATAAGGTTTGGGCAGGCACTCCAGCCGGAACAAACAATAAAGCCTTACTTAATAATGACTTGTAGGAAAATTTGAACGATTCAGGTGAAAGATTTCTTAAATAGTCAGGTACCAAATTATAGAGTTTGTATATGTTATAAGTAAACGACCTCTGAAATATTTGTGTTCTATGAGCAGGAGGCGAGATGCGACCTCCAAATCGAAGGTTGAGATTATGAATGTCGGTCCTATATGATATTTTCTACACTAAATAGGGAGGGCAGTTATTAAATATAATTTTGTGAAACAATATAACTGAGTGAAGCTTGCGTCTCTCTAACATTGACATCCATGATGCACTTTACAGTTTATGAGATATTCGCGAGTATTTTCTAATTCCGTATATGAAACGGAGACGCGAGTTTTGTGCTTTTTGTATACGTCTTATATCAAACTGGTCTAAACATGGCCCATAAACCGCATCAGCAAAATTAAAATGTGAAAGAACAAGTGAATCGGAGAGTGCAATCTTGAGTTTTTCTGACAGAATATGACGATGAGGAAACAATAGTTTTAAATTAGTATACGCTCTTTTGAGGCATTTAGTAACGTGAGGTTTAAAGCGTAAATTGCTATCAAAAGTAAGACCCAAATTTCGAGCTACATCAACACATTGAAGTGTACTATCTTTTATTTTTAATTCAAAATCAACAGAAATTGTTTTATTATGTTTTCCAAATACCATAAAACACGATTTACTTGGATTGATATTTAAAAGATGCGCTTCCGAAAACTTACTTAGACTTTTCAAATCAGTATTTAGAAATTTTGAAGCATCGGCCGATTTATCAGGATTAAATGACATTACTAATTGCGTGTCATCGGCATATAATTGGCTCATGCTATATTCAATATACTGAGATATGTTGCAAGTATACATGCTATATAGAAGAGGCCCCAATATAGAACCTTGCGGTACGCCACTATCAATAGATAGAATCTCAGATTTTCCTTTATTTGTTTCCAAATACTGTCTTCTATCCGCTTAACAACAAAGTTGCACTCTCCGAAAATCCTAAGTAATGCAATATCGAAACTAAAATTTCATGGTTAATTTTGTTAAAAGCCTCAGTATAATCTAAAAGTACCATTACTGCTGTTTCACCCTTATCTATAGCTCTAAAAATCTCATCTGTGACATTTTTTTTGCTCAAATTGTTGTTTCACAATTTTAAATATTTTTTTGCTCAAAAACGGTGAATGTTAGATATAGAGTGTTTAATATCAAAATTCATAAAATTTTACACAGAATTTAAACACATAATAAAAAATGGGGGTACCCATTTTTTATTATGAAAGTTGCTGTCAACTTCCGGTATTTCCGGAAGTGCCGCCATATTGAAAATATTTTTAATCGATAGATCTCGTTGTGAAACTATAATGCGCAAAAAATCTCCGAGCTAGATGTTGTAGTTCTCTAGAAACTTCTAATGCACGCTCAGCCTGGGACACCCTGTATATATTTGTTGTAATTTGTAAATATTTTACGAATAATATCATCATAGATTGATTAAATTTAAATGTCAAAAAATATTGCGCTGGAAACATAGGAAATCGCATGGAAATTTTGAACTGTCCAGATATTGCCTCCCCCATTAATTTTATAGCAAAGTGGTCATGCTATAATTTTGTCACTGTCAAATTGTATTTTCTAAACGTTAGGTTTTTGCCTCATTCGAATCATTCAAAATTTTCATGGGATTTCCTATGTTTTCAACGACGATGCACCACCCGGTAATACTATAGTCTGTCCAACAAGAGAATATATGACACTTATGACAGCGATAGTTGCGTCTGCCTTTTTAATGCGAAGGCAGATTATTCTATTTTCAGGATGTAATCAATTGAAATTTTCCTTTTCATGTTCCGACAAACTTTACGAATCTATAGCCTTATTTAGAACCTTGAAATTAGTTGAATAAATTAGTGGTTTTAATTATCCTTTTTACTTAAAAGTTTTTTAATCAGCTTATAAAACAATAAAAATTTCATTTCTAACCACAATTCCCAAGGACAAAATGGCATTACTTCTCGCAAATTTTAAAGTATAATATTGGCAAAAGTTAAAAGTTTGTTGACTTTTTCTACTAATTGAAATTTAGTACCACTAATTTTGACGTTCTGAATGCTTACATTAAAATTAAAGAAACAAACTTCTACGCTAATTGAAACCACTAATTTCGAGCTCCCGAATGAAGGGTATACCGGGTGCGTCTCAAAAGTGGCGCACCCCTATAATTTTTTATTTTCTTAGATAAAAAAAAAGAGATTTGGTATGTTAGTATATGACATAAATTAGGATTGACGTATTCAATCTTTTCGGTGACTTCCTTTTTCACCGGAAATATCTACAATTTTTGATTTTTAAATGACACCCTCGGTATTTTTTTGCTTTATTCAATAGAAAATGACTGAATATAATGACATATCATATGCCAACTTTTGTCATTTTCGCTAAAAAAAATCGTATTTTAAATTTCAATCTAGAGTGCCGTGGCTGTGTTAAAAACATTAATTTTAGTCAAGAAGATTTGGAAAAATAAATTTGATAGTCTAATGTTTTTCGTGTCTTGTCTTGGCCGGTTAGAAGTTGATCAAATCATATTTTTAATTATACCTCAATTTTTTTCAAATGGAACAAGGGTGGCTCATTAACGTATTTGAAAAAAAGCATTTTTACGAATAATTTGGTACCGCACACTTGGTATTTTGAGTCAAATTGTCGTTATGAACCGTTTGTTACAATTTCAAATAAACCATAATATGCGAAAATGTCAAAAGTTGACATATGATATATCATCAGATACCAAAAATATATCTTCTATTCAGTGTCATTTTCTATCGAATAAAATAAAAAAATACTGAGGGAGACTTTTAAAAATCTAAAAAGTCATTTCTGGTAGGAAGTGACCAAAAACAAATGAGTAAGTCAATCAGTTCTAATTTATGTCATATACTAACATACCAAATTTCGTTTTTTATTTGAAAAAATTAAAAAGTTATAGGGGTGAACCACTTTTGAGACGCACCCGGTATATGTCTAGTACCTATACCTGGTGTGTCAAATTCAGGTATAATCCTAATGCCCCTTACTTTTCCATATTCTATAATACTGTTGATATCTTCCGGAGTATAAGTCTTAGTATAAGGATTGAAGGATCCCAAATTGCTGAAATTACAATTAATTTTGTTTAACATTGCGCCCCCATTATAATTCTTACATTTCATATTACTAAAAATTATCATATATTATGTATTATATTTAATTAAAAACGTTTATTATTTTAATATTAATAATAGCACAGTAATACCGTATGATCCAAAAAAAGCGTTCAGTTGGCTGCGAAATGACGATCGATGACATTTCCCATATAAATTTACATGTAAAATGATAGTGATTTTCATTTCATAGCCATCGCTGACGCCGTTTTTTTTTTGGATTAGGTACAGTAATTAAGATCTTAAGTTATTGATATGTTTATTATGATTGCAGGACTAGAATTTTTGCATTTTGTAGTTTTTTGAAATGTATAATAGACACAAGACTTAATGTAAATAAAACTAACTATAAAATGTATTATTATAGATGGTACAGAATACAGAATGTTTGGCAATTATACGGTAATATTTTAGTAATTACAAAAATAATTTCATGCATAGAAATTATATTTCGTGAAAACTTTACTGAGTACACCTAATATATCTGTAATGTAGTTTAGTGTGGAAAAGTAATTTTTCAAGGTCTATTTGGCAGATGATGCTCCTTTTGTAGTGTTTCTGTTCAAATTAAACTTATTTTTTATTTTTTAATTTTCACTTTCATAAAGTGGGATTGATCAAGTGTAACATAATTGTGTAATGTTACTGGTTTAATTAGACAAATATTTCCATTGAGTATTATACAGGGTGTTTCTTATAAGTGCAAGTATTAACTGGTAGTAGATAGTTAAAGCACGGTCAAAGACGTATACGTAAACGTATCATTTGATATGTACGCTGGCGCAGTGTGGAGCAATTCGCTTGCAATTACATATACGTGATACGTATCTTGTAAGTTAGATAACTAGTTAGTTTCAATTTATTTTAAAAATCGTAAATAGACAATAGATTTTACTTGTCCAGATCTACCACCCTTAAAATACTTGCCCTTATTTAAGAAACACTTTATATTGTATTATACATTATTTAAATTTACATACCTTAGTTCTGGGAACCTAATACTGACATATGGAAAACTCTGATCGTCCACAATATGCCAGTGCAATACATTCATTTTGTTATAACTCATTGCATCCAAGGTCTTATAAATGACATTCAAAGGCAAAAAATGCCTGGAAGTATCTATTAATAAGCCCCTATGTTTGTATCTTGGAAAATCAACAATTTCTGTTTGATTGATGCGTAGCTATAAGAATTAAAACGTTATATTACGTGCTTCTTCTACGAAGACTGCCTAACTAACAGATAATAGATCATCTCCTAGATATAACAATTGTGAAAATGACTCCAATCCCCTTAAAATGCCCCAAAAAGAAGCCGCTTCAAGCTTAAACGTTGTTTGATTGATAACCAGATAATCTAAAAATAAGAAATTTTAAAACATACACGATAATTGAAAGTTAACTTACAGTGTTCGTCCATTTCCAGGTCTGGATATTTAGTGTCGTCACATGTTTGGGATAAATTTATGGTAAGTTGGTCCAGATAACCCAAAAATTTTTCTCGGAAATGCCAGGATTTCTTGTTTTTGTCATGGGGTTTCCGGTATTTTAAAGTATCTTTTGTCAGAATTTCATTTTGTTGTATGATTTTTAGGTACCTATCTAGTGCGCTTTGTAGAATACCACAGTTTTTAGTTATATCTGAAAGCTAAAAAATAGGAGCATACTAATAAGAAATTGCACTTAATTTGTGTATTTTTACCATCTAACAAAAAGTTCAGGTAAACAAATCAACATTTAATTTACTTACTTATTAAAGTGTATTCTCACATACTGCGCACCGATTTGACTGCGGGGCACAGTTGTGCCTAGGCCTAGACCTATACAGAAAGGTCCACAGACTTCGAGACATAGGAAAAATCAAGTTCATTTAACGTGTGTCGCAATTTTCACACCTTAAAATGTTTTTTATAGCTATAGCGACCACAGCGACTATGAAAAAAGCTGTGTGGTTTTCATAGAAAATAAGGGCACCTATGTAATTCATTTGAGAATGTTATAAATCGCTAAAAGAGGTTTCAAATCTCTTGGATTTTTTTTCTTATTAATATTAAATAAATTTTATTAAAAATTGAACTAAAATTGTTAGTATCATTAAAAACAATTCAAATTCAAAAATTGTATCAGTCAAATTCCCTCATTGATACAGCTCATTCTAAGCTCTACTTATCTTTAAGAAAAAATTAAATCATTGGTGCAATTTGGTCTTAAAATGGCATTTCGAATGAATAATAGTATTAATAATGTACATTATAATAATAATAAATTTTACATCATGGTGTGTATTAAAACTACTAAAACACTTTTAAATTGGTAGTATATTAACAACTTTTGTTTTTTTAATCCAAAAAAAAATAAAAGTAACAAATTTCTCAATCAAAATATTTGTGGTTCTGAAAAGAATCTTTGTTTCCCCATGTTCGTCAAGGTAGTTAATAGGTAAACAGTAAAAAAACAGGATAATGAAATTTAAAAAATTACAAAAATTGTTCAAAAATGCCTCCCTCTTGCATTAAACAATAACCCAAACGATCATAAAATCCCCTCCTCACATTGGATAACATATAAGAGGTGACAGTGTCAAAGGCATTAAATATTTTCTGCCTTAAGTGCTCCATGTTTTGAATTTCTTCATGGCCGTAAATTTTAGATTTTATGTACCCCCATAAAAAGAAATCATTCACCGAGAGGTCAGGTGAAATTAAACGTCAGTCTAAACAAAACTGTCATTTTTGAAAACTTGTCAAAATTTGGACACACGCTAACTGGACTTGATTTTCCTATGTTTCGAAGTCTGTGGACTTTTCTGTATACCCTGCTGGTCATCAAATTATGTGGTGTGGATTTTAACAGGTGTGACAGAGAATAATATAAATAACCGGTTGAAAGACAGAGAGACAAAATCAAAAGCGGCATACAGTGTTGCCGGTTTTTTATGTTTGTAGGAAATTGTGTGTAAAAAAATATAAGTTATTTTAAAAACTTTTATGTATAGTACTGTAATGATGATAATATATCTAAACTAAATATAATCTAAACTGCCCGTCAAATTAAATACCACAGTGATTTTTTTACTCATTTTCAACGAGTTGTAACTTTGAAAAAAATGGACCAATTTTGTTGATTTTTCTGGCATATTAAACATCGTTTTAGTTCTGATTTTTCTAAATTTCGTATGAGATTTAGTTTTCTATGATATACAGGGTGTGAAAAAAAGGAATGTAATTTTTGTATTTTTTGTGTTGATACCATTTTGCAAAAAAAATAACTAGAATTATAAGTTCTGGGTATAGCTAAGACTAATATCTCGGAACGGTATTTGGAATTTTTACGATAACTCATCTGGAATAAAAGATAATCAATTTTTACTCTAACTTGTATTTTTTCCACCTTCGCCTACGCAATTTTAACTTTAAAAATCATAATATTGAATAATTTTATGTATTTTTTTTAATTGTTTTTAAGCACTTTAAGTTGCAGCTAAAACTAAACTACAGATTTTTAGACACAAAAAGAGTTTTTACAAAAATATCAAATACGTGTCGAGCTTTTATATTAATCTTTTGGGCTGTTAAGTTCAGAGTATTACAAAAAAATTACTTTTTCGCTGGTCGTATTTTTAAGAGATCCTGTATTAAACTGCGTTAGTTAAATCTTTTTTTTTTAATTTCACATTGTAAAAGTAACAAATATCTTACAATTTTAATAAGAAAGGTAGAAAAAACACAAATTAGAGTAAAAATTGATTATCTTTTATTCCAGATGAGTTATCGTAAAAATTCCAAATACGTCCCGAGATATTAGTCTTAGCTATACCCAGAACTTATAATTCTAGTTAATTATTTTTTGGCAAAATGGCAGCAACACAAAAATTACAAAAATTACATTCCTTTTTTTACAAAAAAAAAACAAAAATTACATTCCTTCTTTTACAAAATTACATTCCTAAATCTCATACATTAATTGCAAAGAATTGCAGTTTTGTGGGGTCATAAATATGCGCCTTTTAGATTTTTGAAAAAGTTCAAGGCTTACTAGATATTTCGAAAAAAACAAATTTTGGCTATTTTAAAAATGGTCCCTAATTCCGTTATAATACATTTTAGACAAAAAAATTTCAAATAAAAGTTGTAGATAATCACATCCTTAATGAGATTGTGTTCTTCGCTTTTTTCTAAAGCCAGTCACTTTTGACATATGACACAAACTTATGTTTTTTTAAATGAAAATCATAGTTGGCCATAGCTTTATAAAAAGCGCCATTTTTAAGCTTTTCAGTGATATAAGCTATAATATGTTTTTTTCGAAAAATTACTGAGTTATAGCCAATTCTTAGCATTTTTAAACAATTTTACTTAGTTAGCCATGGAAACAAGTTTAATTGTCTATGCTCTCAGAAATATCAAACTGTCACATCCAAACTTTGTAAATTAAAATAACCAAAAATTGTAAATATGAATTTTTCAAATAAAGTAAAGCGTGTAGGATATATTGGTTCAACTTTTCTTGACCATACATTTTCGAGGATACGTTACATACGCTTTTTAGAGAACGGTTTTCAAGACATTTTAGAAAAGTTAAATTTAGAGACTCGCCAATCAATGGAGTGATTCAAACATGACTTAGAATATGACACTCCGCCCCTACCCCCCTTAATGAGAGAAATGTTAAAAACATTTTATATCATAATTATTCAAACTCCGGAATAGGAAGAGGTGGGCTAATTGCATGGGCCTTCTCGATCAACTGACCTATCCATTTTAGATTTAATGCGGTATATTTTTTGAACATTTTCTAAAATAATTTAAAGTGTATGGTAGTGATACTATTTTTTTAAGTTTTAGTTTGTGTAATATAATTTGTAAAGAACCGTTTAATAAAATATTCTGTCTTTTTATAAGTTATAAATTATATAAATTAAATAAATAACAGAATAAGAATACAATGCCAACTAAGTGAAATTAGTCAAGAAAGATAAGAATTGGCTATAACTCAGTAATTTTTCGAAAAAGGCATATTATAGCTTATACAGGGTTGTTCACCACATACGACACGGAGTATTGTAGCTAAACGATGAGATTTTTACAAATTGTAAGTTTGGGGTTCGTTGAAGGACTATTAGAGCTACAATTTAAAAATATTTTTACAAGATACAGAGTGTCCCAAATAAATAAAAAATATCAAAGTTGTATTTTTTTAAATGGAACACCCTGTATATTATTACATTTTTAGTTTCTACGATTAAAATAAAGGTAAATTTGATTAAGGTTTATTATACTTAAACTTTACCGTTTTTGAAATATTTTCAATTTTGTGAAATTGCAAAATTTTAAAGCTTCATTTCTCCAAGGGTATCAATGTTTTTAATACTAAATATTTAATGAAGTTTATTTATTGATCAGTTATTATGTTGCAATAATAAAAATAATACTACCTTATACAGAGTGTTTAAAAAATTATTTTAAATAATTATTAGCTTCAAACGGCAATAACTTCTTTAATTTAAATAGAATGCCCTGTATATTTTAGGAGAATCAGATGCACAATTAAATTGTCTATCAAATTGTATTATACCATTTTTACCTATTCCTTCAAGTTTTCGTAGAAAATGCATTTTCTTATAATTTAGACCTCATTTATCAATATATCCATGGAATATTGACATTTTAGATTGTTTTTAAAAGCAACAAATGTACAAAATGTACAGACTAGTAATATTATCGTTTTTAGCAAAACGATAATATTACTAGCCCATTTGTATGCAAAAAGAAAACTATTTAAATCTTTATAAAAGAGTATACCATTAATTAAGTATAACACCATTATTTCCGCCCATATACTAATTAATTACATACTTAATTGTGTTCGTTAATAAATTATTATAAATAAATGTGGATTTGAGTCAGAAATTAATATAATAATAAGTTATCAAATTAAAGTCTCTGTTGTTATAAATAAGCATTTATTAAAAAATTAAATATCATTTTTAAGGTGTTACTTTTTATCACACTGTCTAATGCCCATACAAAATTCAGTTTTTTAGTATTTGGAGCAAATATTATTAATCAACGCAAACAGTCATTTAATGTAGTTTGAATACTGGAATCATATTAATCTCTTTAACAAATATTTAAACAGTTTTTTTTATTTTTTAATGAAATAAACGAATTATATCGACAATATTAGTATCTGTACTCTTTAAAAATTTGGTACATCTTTAAAAATAATCTAAAATGTCAATAGTCCATGGGTATATTGATAAATAAGTTCTAAATTACAAGAAAATGCATTTTCTACGGAAACTTAAAGAGATAGGTAAAAAATGGTATAATATAATTTGATAGACAATTAAATTGTGCATCTGATTTCGTAAAATATACAGGGTGTTCCATTTAAATTAAACAAGTTATTGCCGTTTGAAGCTAATAATTATTTAAAATAAATTTTAGACACTCTGTATAAGGTAGTATTATTTTATTATTGCAGCACAATAACTGATCAGTAAATAAACTTCAGTAAATATTTAGTATTAAAAACTTTGATACCCTTGGAGAAATGAAGCCTTAAAATTTTACTGCAATTTCACAAAATTGAAAATATTTCAAAACGGTAAGGTTTAAGTATAATAAATCTTAATCAAATTTACCTTTATTTTAATCGTAGAAACTAAAAATGTAATAATATACAGGGTGTTCCATTTAAAAAAATACAACTTTGATATTTTTTACTTATTTGGGACACTCTGTATCTTGTAAAAATATTTTTAAATTGGAGCTCTAATAGTCCTCCAACGAACCCAAAACTTACAATTTGTAAAAATCTCATCGTTTAGCTACAATACTCCGTGTCGTATGTGGTGAACAACCCTGTATAGCTGAAAAGCTTAAAAAATGGCGCTTTTTATGATGTCATGCCCAACTGTGGTTTCCATTAAAAAAAACATAAGTTTGTGTCATATGTCAAGAATGACAAGCTTTAGAAAAAAACAGAGCACAGTCATATTAAGAATGTGATTATCTACAACTTTTATCTGAAAACTTTTTGTCTTAAATAGATTATAATCGAATTAGGGACCATTTTTAAAATAGCCGAAATTTGTTTTTTTCGAAATATTTAGTAAGCCATGAACTTTTTCAAAAATCTGAAAGGCGCATATATGACCCCACAAAAATTGCAATTCTTTCCCATTTAACCGACTTTCTATCTCCAGTAGTTTCCTAAATACCCATAGAGAACATCGTAGAAAACTCACCCTGTATGTGATAATCCATCTTTACTGTTGTTATAAGTAAAAATTTTAACTAAAATATAACATTTACTTACGACAAATTGAAATTTTCCTGGTTTGAGTATAAAATAACTGTCCGAAATATTTTGTCGTTGTGGTTTTGGCCAGATTGCACCTTTGGTAGCTATAACTTGGGGTCCTGGATTGACACCGCTTACCAAATTTATCAAGAAGCCACAAAGTATGAAGTAAATAAACTTCTTTCCATTTTTATAAGACAAATCCATTTTTATATTTTACAGAATTTTCTTCCGATTTCTGCCAATGAAGGAGACTAGTCTAGAAACGACAATAAATAAAACTAAATATCAATATGTTTGGTGAATGATATCTTAAACTATTCTGACGTAGTTCCATTATCACTGTTTTGGAATTCTTAGTATGATATGGTACCCAATTAAGAAATGTTTAAAACATTGTGTATTTGACTAACTTAAAACCGTATATTCAAATAATTCCTGAAAGATGGGTACTTCCAAGAAAAAAAACTATTTCATTGATATATAGTTTCCTCCATAAATCCAACAATATTTAGTTATTTTCCAAACATACTAACATACATATTTATTGTATTTTCTTGCAGAATATTCAGAAATCTATCGATGTGTGTCAACACCATATTTTTTATAATATAATTTCCAAAAATTCCGTAGGTATTCCTCTAAATGTCCCTGAATATACTGTCATAGCGCATCCGTTTTAATAATATACAGTTTTAACAACTTTCTAGACATAATTTAAACCTATATAGTTGTTTTAAAAGCGTTTTGTCATGAAAAACATCTCTATAATTTATATAAGGAGCCGTGCGGATAGTCATTTTTATTATTTTATGTATAAAGGTATAATAAATCATTATTGTAATGTGTTTTAAAGAGGAAATATATATACGAAAATTTTGAAATCTGAGACAAAAAATAATATTAGAAACACAGGTTATTCGTTATGCAGCTAGTCATCTTCGCTGATTAATGAGTACTCGCGCTTTAGGTGTTGCGTCTCTTTTCGTACCTACGCGGGCAGTCAAAGCACCACTCTCCATAGTTTTTATAAACGGACCTTCACGGAGCTAAAAATTCGGCTTATAAGATAAAAAAGGCGAATATTTAAAAAAGTACGCAGAATTCCATATAAAAGGTCTCAAGTCGACTGGCTGTCTAATAAATAGGCTTTGATTGCTTACTTGAAAACTATTTATTTGGAAGGCTGGTAAAAAATATGCCAAACCAACAAAAAGTCTTAACGTTTTAGGAAATATGTCTAACCCCGTACTCCGAAAAAATAATAATAATTAAAATATCCAAATTCTACAAGAACTCTTTATAAACACTGTATAATATTTTTATTTATAAATATCCTTGTTTATACATAATCAAAGTAGATACATATACAAAGATAATATATTGATAAAATTAAGAATCTGTCTGAAAAAAGCAGAGTACCAAACGTTAACTTCTCATTACTTATTCATTTAACCAGTTGATTAACAATCCTATATTACCTAGGCATCTCATTCAAATTGAATAACTCTTGCAAGAAGTTCTTAGGCACGATAGTTTAGCACATTATTACACTGCATTACTAGAAGGAATAAAAAAGGTTAATTCGAGGTGGAGTGCCATATTATTACTACACATTAATAAAAGATCGGACAGATATAGGAAAGCCTAGGTATCTAATTAGATGTTAGTGGGCACACGCCTTTCTCAGCGATTCGAATCACCAATGTGTAGTAACCATAGATATCACAAGAAATAGAGAAATACTTAAGGGGAGTCTACCGGGTATTGCATCGTCGAGCGGGACATATAGGAAATCCCATGGAAATTTTAATGCGGTCAATTATTGGCTTCCCTAATTATTTTAGAGAATAATTCCATTTAGGTTTATTGAAGAGCACTAAAACCCACATTCAAAAGAATAACTTTAGATATTTTTGATTAGCTCGTTTACGAGTTATCGCCGATTTCTTTTTAAATATTTCTCCTTTCTTATGTCCCTGTATTTACTTCAGCACCAGTCAAGGTAAAAGATAACTGTCAAATGAAGTTGTCATTTCAGAAATTTGTCTATTTAGTATTTTATTATTATTATTAAAAACTCATACCTACATCGAAAATATTAGCCATTAATTACACTACCGAAGAAAAAGTACTGATGATTAAATGCTATTATCAAGGAAATGGTTATCAAAAGGTGTCTACAATCGTGTCTACAAAAAAAATGTACAATCGCAAGGAATATCCAGAGATTTAAGACCAAAGATACCCTAATAAATAACTGCAGATGTGAAGCAAGGCAGGAACAAAGAAAAGATGCAAGAAATGATACCGACTTGGAAGTTTTATTGTGCGTGGAAGAGAACGATGGAAAGATCAGCACAAGGAAACCTGAGGATGAAATAGGAATAGATCACACTACAGCGTTTCGAATTTTGAAAGACATAAATACTATTCCTTCAAATATGAAAAGCACCAAGAGCTACGACATGGGGACGAAATACGGCGGCAGGCGTTATGTTTTGATATGATGGAAAGAGCAAACACGGATAGGGAATTTTTAAAAAAAACATGTTTTACTGACGAATGCACGTTTACCTTAAATAATGAACCCAATGTTCAAAATTATCGATATTGGAACAAAGAAAACCAACACAGGTTTGTCGAAACAAGGACGCAATATCCACAGAAAGTAAATGTTTGGGCAGGGATATTCGGACACAATATTATCGGGCCATTATTTCTTACGCGAAATTTAAATGCAGAATATTATTTGGAACTACTCGAAAATCATATTTTACTTGCTTTACATGATGCCGCTAGGGAAAATCAGGAAGTTTGGTACCAAATGGATGGCTGCCCGGCACATAGTACCCTGGCTGTTCGGAAATATTTAGACAATAGTTTTAACGGAAACATTATTGGCCTAAATCATACAGTAAATTGGCCAGCAAGGTCTCCTGATATTTCGCCAAATGATTTCTTTCTCTGGGGCCATTTAAAAAACAGGATATACAAGGATAAAAAATACCCAAATCTAGACGAGTTAAAAAATGTTATTTCTGCCGAATGCAATAGAATTTTAGTTTACCAACTAGCGAATGTCAGAAGAGAATTTTAGATCAGAAGAGAAATTTAGAATTTAGAAGAAGAGAATTTTATGATCACCTGGGTTATTGTCGAGCAGTCGATGGAGGAATATTTGAACATCTTCTTAAATCCTAAAGTTCTAACAATTTAATAGTACCAAAATTAATAAGTTATTGAATATTGTAATAATACTATAATAATTAACCTTGTAATTGATTACTTTATTTTACTTTAATTCATATTAATTTGTATTTATAAATACATCTTTAAGATTTCCGATGTAGGAATGAGTTTTCAATAATAATAAAGCACTAAATAGGTAAATTTCTGAAATGACAACTTCATTTGACAGTTATCTTTTACCTTGACTGGTGCTCATAAGTAAATACAGGGCCATAAGAAAGGAGAAATATTTAAAAAGTAATCGGCGATAACTCGTAAACGAGCTAATCAAAAATATCTAAAGTTATACTTTTGAATGTGGGTTTTAGTGCTCTTCAATAAACCTAAATAGAATTATGCTCTAAAACAATTAGGGAAGTCAATAATTGACCCCATTAAAATTGACATGGAATTTCCTATGTCCCGTCCGACGATGCAACACCCGGTATACCGTACTGGCTCCTACATCATACCTTTTCAATATTTGGTTTCTAGTATTTGAGTTTATAATTGCATTGGCGAGGGTCGGACTGGGTCAGAGGGGCCCGGATGGTATTGTGATGAGGGGCCCGGGTGGCTTTTTTGCTTATTTTTTGTCTTATGTTTTAGACAATTTTTTCTTATTGATTTGTTGTTAGTGTTTGACATCAGGGAAATATCCGTAATGCAATGGCAACCAAAAGGTAAATATAATTTTTTAATCCAAAAATAAAAATTTCGGGATATAATCAGAATATTACCGTCACTTTTTCAGTTTCATTTCTATTTGAGAATAAATAATGCGAATATCTCCAAAGCGAATATCTCCAACAAAATAATGTTATTGAGATGAACCAAAAAGGTAAACTCTTGAAAAAAGATGCACCTAGATAAAATAATTTTTAAACTTCTTGCATTTTTAACATATTCCACAGGGCGTTCCAAACTTTCATCAAAGAACAACATTTTGTGTTCCCTCGACCTTTTACTGACAGATGGGAACTTTCATTTTTAATTTAGAAGGGTATATTAAAAAGTCAAATAATTTAGCTACAAATTTCTCAAAAGATCATCGGTCCACTGGAACATAATATATAAAACTTTAACTAAAATACATCAAAATTTTAAGGTGCCTGTTTTTAGCGCCGGTGAGTGTATAAGTATTAACTGTTGTTTTAGCCAACGAAATTATGACCTAAGATTTAGTGTTTTGTGGTGAATTAGTGTTTTTGTTTTGCTGTTGTAACACCAAAGGTTACAGCCCCCCCACTGAAATATTTATAGTGTTATTAACATAAAATTTGTCAACCAAAAATAAATTCAAAAATTGATTAGTTAAATTATCACAATTTATTTTTTTCTATTTGACAGTTTTATCTTTATAAGGAAATAATATCTATATATTTTAGCCTTTATAGTAGTAGCGGAATGTTTAATTGAACTTAAATTCGCAAAAAGAACACATCTTGTAAAGATACATTTGCCAGCTTAAAATCACTCTACAGGATAAGGCAAATTAAGTGGATCAAAAATTAGGAAAAATGATAAAAATCTATTCATAAAAATTTTTGCTTGTTCTAAAATTGCTAATCCAATTTATACTTTTCCAGATCTTCAATCGTTATTAGGAAAAATGATAAAAATCTATTCAAATAATAGAAATATTTTGTTATACAGTAGGTCACCGGATTCTTTATAAGATGAATCACTTTTTTATTATTGACATTTTGAGAAAAATGCATTCCTCATAAAAATTTTTGCTTGTTCTAAAATTGCTAATCCAATTTATACTTTTCCAGATCTCCAATCGTTTTAGAGAAAATTTAAAGAAACATGAAAATATAGCTGTGAAAGGGTCATAATATTTATCAAAAAATGTGCTACTTTAACACCAGCAAAAAAGGTGATGTTAATTAAATTGAAGACTTGAAGTAAATAATGTTCTAAGTGCCAAAATCATTTTTTCTAGATAAACAACATTTTTTGTTATAGTAAGGGTCGGCATTTCTGGTCTTGGGTGCCGGTTTTCATGTGTACGAAGAGCACGGCCAACACGCTTTGTAAAATAAGATGTACTGAATAAAGACAGAAGGCGAGTATTTTCCCAAGCGCATGGAATCTATCGTCAGATTAAGTAGTTATGTAATAAATACTTCGTATTTTTGCTTACTCCGACTTACTAGATTGCCATAGCGACTCACTCCTCTACATGTAAACGCCGACCTAAAGGTTCGTTTGCCAGCAGGGTATAACAATGTATAAGAACGGGCGGTGTCTCTGTTAAGAATTTTTTTCAATACAGTTTAATAGCCGTGACAATTAGTGATTTATATATATTGTTGGTTGTGGCACTTAGGACATTTTACAAATAAAACATGATAAACCGATTTTTTGGCACTTAGAACATTATTTACTTCAAGTCTTCAATTATTATTAAATTAATCATAACCATCTATAAAAGAATGAAATCCAAATTTTATTACCATATCTTTTGATTTTTAAGGAAAAAATCAACCATATTTTCATGTTTTTTCCAATTTCCTCTAAAACGGTATAGAAATTTGGAAAAATATAAATTAATAATTAACCATTTTAGAAGAGTATAATTAACCATTTTAGAAGAAGCAAAATTTTTTATGAAGTATGCATTTTTCTAAAAATGTCAATCATAAAAAAGTTTTTCCTCTTCTAATGACAATCCTGGAACATACTGTATAGAGTGATGAGTCAACGGATATTAGAAGCAGCATAGCATAGTGTCAAAATTACTAAATTCATTGAATAAAATTTAATTTTTAGAATAAAAAACACTAAGTATCTTTAAGTAGGTAATGTTATAAATAAATAATTAATATAAAATTAAATTAGGAATTTAAAGTAAAATTTATCTAGCAGTAGAAATATTTTAATTTTAAGTCAATTTTTAAATTGTTAACTATATAGTTACTTTTATATGGTTTACTTCTCTGCTAATTAAGATATAAGAACACTTAAAAATACTTATCATATTTTAATGACTTTTTTAACCATTGGTCGTCGGTAAATGCCAAAAGATTCGATAATTATAATTAAAAGGAAAATAAATAAAAAAATACAGCTCGTTGCGCGTTGGCAAAACTCATATAATATAGCTTGAAACAACCGCTAGGTCATTTCAGGTCCCAGTATTCCTGATAGTGGCCCGAATATGTCGAGCACCTGTTATGTCATCCACGTAACACCATGTCCTTGCGGTGTTGCAAACTCTTCTTCATCTTGGCCACAGCTTAGTCAGCAATAAAAAAGATCTTCCTGGATTTAAGTAAGAACAATCTTCGGATTGTCACGGGGTTTTTAACAGGACACTGTCTCCTCAATGAACACCTCAGTAGATTGAAACTAAGAAGAAACGGCGAATGCAGATTCTGTGGGGAAAATGGGGAAACACCAGAATACCTCATCACTGAGTGGGCCGAGACGACAACCATTCGTGCCATGAACTTTGGTACGACTGATATTGGAGATGGAGAACTACCCTCTATAAAACCGTCCCAGATACTGGCTTTTGTCAAAGCCCTGGGACTGTATGATGAGTTATAACTCAAGAAAGGCGGACACAATAGATCTGTAAGATCGCAGTGATTAACCCCCCCCTCCCACTCATTTTAAAATTCTAATCAGCAATAAGCAGATTATTGTTATGTGTTTTAGTGGGTGTTCCTGACACCATTTTTGACGATTCATATCTTATCGTATCTGCTGTTCTCCATCACCCACCATTTTTGGGTGAAACCCCCAACCCATTTTTACTGCTTTATTGATAGTTTGATGGGATGAAAAACGCCATTTTGTTCTCTACATTTTTATTTTCGGGGTACTAGAGATATTAAGTGTTCTAAAACATATGTATTTTTTGTCGTAAGGTGGTAGTTTTTTTAGACTCTTATATTTCTGCTTCCCTTTTATTACCTAATAGGTTATAACAACATATTGACATATAAAATTATATAGAGACTATATACATTTATCCTAACTAGCAAAGGAGTACGACAGGGAGAGGCAATATCCTCAAAGCTGTTTACAGCAACACTAGAAGAAGTCTTCCGTCAACTAGACTGGACCAACAAACGATTAAAAATAGATGGAGAATACCTTAACTATCTAAGATTTGACGATAACATAGTCCTAATTGCCAATAGTCCTGAAGAACTACAAGCACAAATTAATAAACTAAATACAGCCAGCAATAAAGTGGGCCTCAAAATGAATCTAGCAAAAACTAAAGCAAGGAACAACGAACTAGTGGAAAGATCATTCTAATAAATAACACTGGTAGATGAATGTATATATTTGGGAAAACTAATACACGGCTCGGGATCTCTACTACTAGAAATCAACAAAAGAATTAAATTAGCATGGAGTACTTATAGAAGAATCTCAATTATATTCAAATCTAGAATGCCACTCTATATAAAGAAGAAAACATTCGGCGAATGTGTACTACCAGTCATCACCTATGCATGCAAGACCTGGACACTTAAAATGAACATCATAAAGAAACTGCAGGTCGCACAACGCCGAATGGAACAAAATATTTTGGGAATAACCAAGAGAGATTGTAAAAAAATAGAGTGGATACGATAAAAGACCCAAGTAATAGATGTCATCCAGCACAGAGATAAATTCCTCAAATAGCAAGGGTCAGGATACTTGGCAAGAAGAACGGACAAAAGATGGACCAAAAATTACAGCATGGTACCCACGAGGAATTACGTGGCCTAGAAGAAGACCGAACCTGAGATGAGACCATGACATTAGGAAATTAGAAGCCCAATGTAATCATCACATTAGAATTAACTCATCCATAATTTCAATTTCATGTGATTGGTTTCAGTATCTATTAGCACAACCAAATACAAATTCTTTGAAGCTTTGTATTCTCTCGACAATCCGGCAACATTCTTAGCGCCTCCTGCGGAACTTCTCCCTGTCTTTGCTACTTCTTCACCATCAGGGTCTTCCTGCAGCCGGCCTGCTGTCAGTCGCGTGGTGATATTCGCTGCAAGAAGCGTCATCCTAGCTTTCTTTGACCGCGAACGGTATAAAAAGATCGATTTTCAATGTCATGATCATGGTAGTTTTTTCGAATATTTTTCAGTGACGTTTTCGGTACGTTTTGATGACTGTGACCGGTGAACGAATGAATTACACTGATGAGAAAGTGAGGGGTTGGAACTTTAGAGTTTCAGTGAGTAGATTTCTTCTTCTTGTTTATTTTTATTTCACTTCTCAGTTTATTAGTTAAAATATGAAAAAAATTATATTTTTTAAATAAAAATAATTTAATTTTCTCATTAGAAGTGACACATATTTACAACAAAATTAAAATGTAATTAATTTCAAAATTAATACCGTATGATCAAAAAAAAGGCTTTAAAGATGGCTGAAGAATCTCTAGACGTCATTTACTAAAAATTGACATAAAACCTGTCAAAATTACCACTAATTACAGAAAGATCTAAAAATGATAGAACGTTTCCAGACACACTAACCAATTTCCTAAAAAATATTTTTAAACTATTCTATTTAAAATTTATTTTTACTCAAGATAAAAATAAATTACAACCTTCTTAAGACTAACTAACTTGACTTCTAAGACAGTAAGCGCCATTAACAAATAAAGAAGACGTAAGGGCCAAGTAATGACGTGAAGGGCTTGACCTCGCCAAAATTACGATAGATTGTCATTCCTCAGCCGTCTTTGACGCCGTTTTTTTATTGTACGGTATTTCACTTTGCGAATTAATAAATATGATTTGTTGCGCTAATAGAGCTGATAATTATCATTATAAAACAGAGAATTAGTGAATCGACATCTATTTTTATATATAAAAATATTTTCCATTTCAAAATAATGTTGGATAAAAACTACGTTCATTTCGTCATAAAATACAATGTGTTTCATTTGAAACAGTATAAAGAAACTATAATATCCTATTTTTGGGATACATAAATTTTAAAATAAATCCCTGCGTTTACGGTCTAATGGATTCACACGAAATTACTTCAAAAATCGGTCCAACATTTAAATTGATGAATAGATATTTTTATATAGTTTTATAACATTTACAATTCTGTACCTCAGAGCCAGAGTATGTTAAGTCCAAAAGCTTTGTTTTTCAGTATAGCGATTTAATTAACTTCATACCAGATTTTTTTAAATTTTTAAATTCTGTTTTTAGTAAAAGTTGTAACTACTTTATAATTAAATAAGGTTTGGTCACAGGAATAAGTGCCATAATGTAAACTTTTCCTTTCGTTTTTGTTTGAAATAAGGGACTTAACATAGTTTTCTATCTAGAAAAACTTAAAATTTTGGATTTAACAACCATATTAAGAGCAAAGGTATGGACTTAAAATATTTACAGTGGACATAATATGGATGTTAGATCAATGGAAAGGGCAAAAATACTACCTAATTAATCATTATACTTAGTTTAATGCTTAAATGCTTACAAAACATATAAAACAGTTTATTCCTTTATTATAAACAAATATTTTTATTCGTCGTCTCCGCTTCGTTCATATTCCAATTTCTTGTAAAAGTCGTGAAATCTTTTTGGCACCCATTTAAGAAGTTTTTGTAAGTGGTTATACTTTTTTGCAGATATTGGTTTAGAACTCTCTCGAATTGGTGGAATTTCCAAAGGAGTGTAATCATTTGATTTGTTTCTTCTGTGAAAGTCGACTTCCAAAAAATCTTTATTAAAATCGGTTTTGTAGTAGAGAATTCCAGGGTTGTTTCTCCTAACTTGCAAGTGAACTGCATGAGATATCAGAAAATCGTTTCCCGTCATATCTTTTTTCTTGTTGATGTATGGTGCAGTTGATCCCTCAAACAGATGTTTAAATTCTTTAAAATCATATTGTTCCATATTGACCACATTAAATTGTTTTTTTGTTCCACATAATCGGACCATCTGCTGCCAATCCCAAGGGGTTACAATTTGAAATTGAGGAAGTTTTTTTCTTTCACGCTCAATCGTAGAGTGAACGACATCAGCCTCCAGGTGAGTATGCCCCCTTGCTAGAAACTTGTGATTAACAGCAGTGATGTTTGGTCTTATACGAAGGATAAAAAAATAACACATTATCATTAGGATGTTCCTATTTTGACTTGGACAGTTGTCCGACCAGATTGTTATTTCCTTAATTTCTTCTGAAACGTTCTGTTCAACCCATTTTATTAGACATGATGCAACTTCATTTCCTCCCCGACCGGCTACACTTTCATCCCACATCATGCAGAAACTTTTTTCACAGGTTGCATCTTGGATAGTTAGGTTATACGTCCATAGTTTTAGAGAGTAAAAGCTCTGTGAATTGTGCAAATCCGGGGTCGGTAGACATTTTTGGAGATCAATCATAATAACTTTTGCTTCTAATAAGTTGTCCCTGGACTTTTTTTTATCTTCTGATTTCATTTTGTATCTGTTAGTCGTATCTGCCAGATGTTGATCGTATTCAGTTTGTAGCTTCTTTCTTATATCAAGTGATTCCGCCTCGCGAATTTGAAGCTGAAGTTGATCACATAAGTCACAGGTATCGTTGTCTGGGCTCTTAAATGAATAGTTATACTCATAGTTGAAAATCTCCGAGTATAGCCATTCTTTTGCAATACTTTCGGGTCCAAAACCACGTTCTGTACATTCTTCTAAGTAAAGTCCGTACATTCTACTTATATTCAAATGATTTCCAAGGTACTTCTTTTTGGTTCTTTCCCGAGAATAATGGGATTCGTATGTTGGAAATTTTGAAATATGGTTTCTAACATTTTGGCGGACTTCTTCTGGGATCTTGTTAATAGATGGATGTCTTCCCCTTTTATCAGGCGTTACAATACCTCCTTCTTTTTTCTTTTTAATTGCAGTATCTACTGTTTGCTGTGAGATGCTAAGGGTATTTAAAAAAAACTTCTTACAAACTGTTTCTTTTTTTCCTTCTGTATCAAAACTGTAACAATTGGTAAAGATTCTTTTTCCTCTCCTTTCGCCGGTCTTCTCTCTGCGTCTTTTTATTGGTATTTGTGATACCATAGATGCTATGTATTGTCTTCTCATATCTACTGTTTTTGATGGACTCCAAAAATTAGAATGTATCATTTGCCGACGTTCTTCTAAAATTCTAGTTCTACAGGAGAGTTTGCAATTGTCATGACAAGGTTCTTTTAGGGACTTTGGGTTCATAACTCGACTTCCACTGTCAGTTTTGTATTCTAACCCTGAATACCGTTTCTTTTTTGTAATATTCTTTTTCCAACTCATTGGATCTGCTTTTCTTTTACGACTTAACATCTTCACTGCTTCTTGGTTTTCATCCTCGTCAGGTTCGGTGTCATCGGAATAGTCGGGGTCTGCTATATCATCATCGCTATCAAAATCTACAAATTCCCTCTCAGGAGTTCTATGTAATAATTGTTCTTCATTCTCAGCACTTATGTGGAAAACTTCGCCTTTACTGGGATTTTGTATGTGATCGTCCATAATATTTTTTAACCCTTCATCAGAACTATGTACCACTTTTTCTGGGATATTATTTAGCGATTTTTCGGGAGTATTTCCTAATAAATTTTGTATAACAGCTGTTTCTGGTACAAAGCGTGACTGTTGCAGCATCTGATGGCATAAAAAACTTAAAGACGGAATAGCACGTCTCATGGGAGATGTACTTTCCTCTTCATAAATTTCTAAAACAAAAAAAACAATAAATAAACTTTTTATATTATTATATTTATTATAGTTAGGTATTAGTGGACCACCAATAGTGGACACTAGAACACTGAATTTAGATTAAAACTACACCATACAACAGGTATTTTGCAGGTACTTACCTAATGTTTGTGTAGAACTGGCTTCTGCTATTTCAATATTGGAAACAGATTGGACATTATTTGTTTTATTTTCTATGCAGTTTTTTACCATTTTACTTGTCCGAGAGGACCACGGAACACGTGAAGTAAAAGGCATTATTTTAAAAAATGTGATTTAACAACAATGTAGGAGGTTAAGTATGTTAACAGGTGGAGCTGACATTTCAAACTGACGTGAATCCAGATGCAAATGTGAGGTTAGTGAGACTTAACATTGTTTGAGTCCAGCAGACCTATGGACTTAACGTAGTTTAAAATCAAATATTTCCGTTAGTTTAAAAGATTGGTTAAAATAAAAAATACCATAAAATGCAGCACAAAATTTTAAGTCACTTAATATATTTAGCTAAAATTTGGTAAATTTGGACTTAACATAGTCTGGCTCTGAGGTACAGAATTATTTTTCGATTTATTATCTGTTATAGAACTATTTTTATAGTTTTCTAAGACACATTTTTATAACTTTTACAGTTATTTTTTTATTTATTATAAAGTTTCAATATTTTTTTAATTTAAATCACATGATTAACATTAAAAAAAAATCACTTGATTTAAATCACGATTTAAATCATGCCAACCCAAAAGTAATACTTTTGTGACGTTTGAAAAAAACCTTTCTTTTGTCTGTAAGAAGGCAAACATTTGTATTCTTACAGTGCAATGCAAGGAATACCCATAGGATTTTCTTGACGAAATAAAACATTTAGTCTAAAAATGTCGTATTTCTAGAACCCCTTGGTATAGATTGAGCGTAGTATTAAATTTAAAAGTAAATTTGAAATCAACCGAATAAAAAACTATAAAGTATCATACTTAAAAAATACAGCTAAAAAATAGCATGAGAATCGTACCTTTAGTTAAATAATTATCAAAAAAACTTACCCTATTCTGAAACTATATTTAATTTAACTCCTTTTAATTAACTCGAAATAAAAAACGAAAATTATTTCCTGCAGTCTTCTAAATCGACATCTTTAACAGAACTTGACGTCAGGTGCATTTAAAATAATTAACCTAAAAAACGAGAAAATGTGACAAAAAAACTATGCCATTACCATATAAGATTGCTTAGAGGTAATAGGAGTGTGTTTAGTCAATTTACTTTGTACTAAAAAGGATTAAGTTATTCTGCATCGGAAGAAATGGAATACGTAATTGTTCGAATGAAAATTCTATTAATCTAACATTTCTATGTCACATCGTTTAAAAAATAAATACAACACTGAACACAGACAATACGTTTCCTATCGTTTATTTTTCTTTTTTAATCTTTCTGATAATACCAAATCAAACAAAATATTTTAAACTATTAGTCTTTT